TTATCATTCTAGCTCAAGCTAGAAACATAAACACCATCCTTCCTCCTTGGCTATCCTCCCTTCCACACCACCTACATCCAAGTAGTTGCTGGCTGGGCATTCTCTTTAAGTTCACTGCCCACCACCTTAGTGCCAGGCCCTCAGACCCTGGCCAATAGAATAGCCTCCAATCTTGTCTCAAATTTATTCTCCTTGTTATTGGCGATTTCTTACTGATACCTGAACATGCCCTTCCCTGGCTAAGGTTATTTGGTGGTTTCTAAATCCATAGGATACTGTCCAAACCTTTTAGTGAGGTCTGTTAAGATCTAGCCCCTCCCACCTCTTCACCTTTGTCTACTGCTCTTCCCTTACTCATCATCTCCTTCCCAGCTTCTCTGAGTTGTTTTACCATTTGCTTGCACATTTCCATGCATTTGTTGTGCTATTTCTTCTAGCCGGATGGCCTTCCCTTCCTTTTCCTATCCTTTTCCATCTAGGAAATCTTTCATGATGTAGGTAAAAGTGAAGCTTTCTTGACCTCACCCCACAGTGTTAGTGAGTCCCTCCTCTGTGTTCGCCAGGCATCTTGTACGGGTCTCTATTATGGAACCCATCTCATCGCAGTTAACTTCGCTGTCATCCTCTATATTGTGAATTATTTGGGTCTCATGATACTTTGTTGTTCTTTGTATCCCCAGTGCCAGCATAGTGGCTGGGATATAGAAAGTGTCCTTGGATGTCCCCTGAACGAATGGGAAAGAAACCAAGGAAACGTCTGGATAGGTTACATTTTTTAAAAAGCTTTGCTCTTGGGCGCCTGGGTGGCTCAGTTGGTTAAGCAACTGCCTTCGGCTCAGGTCATGATCCTGGAGTCCCTGGATCGAGTCCCGCGTCAGGCTCCCTGCTCGGCAGGGGGTCTGCTTCTCCCTCTGACCCTCCTGACCCTCCCCCCCCTCATGCTCTTTCTCTCAGTCTCTCTCTCAAATAAATAAAAAAATCTTAAAAAAAAAAAAAAAGCTTTGCTCTTGTCTTCAAAGCACAAAGAAAAATTTTCCTCCCTTAAAACAGCTCCATCTGTCTTCATTGTTCTATGGAGAGCCTCTTGTACACTTGGGAGTCTGATTCAAAACTTCCAGCAAGATGTCTGATCCTTCATGAAGGTGGTGTACCAACTGATATAGGAAGTCTGGGTAGCTATATTGTGCTTAGGGCAGCTCCCCTTTTCTTTCCTGGGAGGCATCAGTCTAGAGGGCTTCTCTGGAACCCTTGAAATTGTCAGGAAACAGTAGCTCACACCTCATCTCCTTGACTAGAAGAGGGATCTTTCTGTGGCACCTGTGGAATTTATCAGGGCCTGTCCATTTCTCTTGGGTTGGAAAGACTTGTCAGCACCCAGTCTTTGTAGGCATGGTCAGATGTGGTTGGTGGATGAAGCTGCCAAAGAGTCATCCCCAGCATTACCACACTCAGGTGTCAGGACAAGTTCGCTCTTCAGCTACACCCATTGGCTTCTCGAAGCCCGTCCCTAGTCACAGGGCTCGCTAGCATCTTACTCTGAGAGGGGTCCTGCCAACTCCTCCCACTGAGGTAACCAGAACACGAGATGGGAAGATGACAGTTTTTCTTTCTCCTTATGTATTTTGGACCCGTTTGGATCATTTGGACCCATATGAAGTGTCTCCAGGTGCCTCATGCAAAAGACACCTTATATTTTTTCATTAAGTTCTGTATGGTTTTTCAGCCGCATTTGTTGAGTATCTGAAGTCCTAGGTAACTGGGTTTGAATCCTGGCTATGGGACTTAGGGCTGCGTGATTTGGGCCAGCCTCTGAGGGGCTCGGTGCACCAGGAAGGATTTCTAATCCCTGGATGGAACTGGAAGATAAAGCAGGAATCTAAGTTAGTGAGGAACTGGGGTTCAAGGGAGGTAGCCTGGCTTCAAGGAACTAGGTGAGGAACCTAGTTTTTGGGGGGCTGCATGTTCAAGGTCAGAGTGAGGCTAGTGGCAAAAATGCCAGACTGTGAAGACAGCCATTACCCTGGGGCTCCCTGGTGGCCTTCTGAGATGAGGAGAGGTTCAACTTTGGGGCAGTCCCAAACCCAGAGGCATGTGTTACCTGGGACCTGTTATGGGGATTAGAGAAGTAGGGGGCAAGGAGCCAGACAAATTGTAATGTTTTGCCTTCCACTGTTGGTCTCTTGTGTTTGCACCCTACTTGATCTCTTTAGGCCAAGGCTGTGTTACTACTTGCTTTCTTTCCTGGCTTCCAGGTAGGCAAGGTCTAGTCCCTCCTGGCCTGTGTCTACCTCCCTGACTAGAGGTCACAGCCATCGTCCTGCAGCTCCCTGCCTTACCACTGTGGCCAGGGTCCTTCAGGCTGCGAGCACAGTAACCCTCTGCTGTAATTATCTACTCTGGGTACTTTATTAGGGAGTTCAGAAGTGGGTGACTCATCACCATCAATAGTTCCTGCCCATTCTGCTCACCTCCACCATTCACTTCTGGCTTCTCTCTCCCCTTTCCTGTCCTGCATTGTAGATCTCTCTGGCAGGCTTGTCTCCCTATCCTCTAGTTTTCACCAATTCTTTAATAATGAATGACTGAAGATAATCATACTTAACATTTATTGAGCTCTACTATGTGCCGGGTATATTAGCTCATTTTTTATCTTACAAAAACCCTATTTATAGGTTCTGTGATAATCTGCCTTTTTCAGATGAGGAAGCTCAGAATGGTTAAGAAAGTTACCACCGGTTTTTAGCTTTTGGATTTTAGGTATCAGGATTAGAATCCAGGTTTGTCTGATAGCAGAGCTGATAACTTTTAGCCACATTTCAGCTTCTTTCTATCCCCAGCATTTTATCGAGATATTTCAGTGAGATATTTCTCACTTTCCTTGGCCTCTGTAGCAACACAGATATTAGTCTGACTATAGGTTCCTTCATTTCAATAAACACTGACCGCTAAAAATCTTGTGTGTCTGTATCCCTTGCTTTGCACAAGATCATTTTCCTATCACCCCAACCTCTCTTCAGAAAAAATATATGTATTTTTGGGGAATGATTTTCTCTCTTGGCAAGTCCTCCATACTCTCTTACAGATTTTTAAAGTTGCTTCAGATTAAAATGAGGTTAATACACCCTCTTTGATTAATGTCTTTATCTTTTACATGAACAAAGGCTTATGGAGAAGTAATTTATACAGGGTCGTATAGTAAGTTAATAAAGTCAGGGTGAGAACCCATGTCTGACACCTGGGCTAGTATTATTCTGATATACTTAACACTCGAAATTTTACTGGTATCAGGGGAATGAATTTTCATTTATATAACATAAGCTATTTTTTCAGAAAATAGGTGGATGTACTTACAGCTTTATCATCAGTGTATCAAAGTGGATTCCTGGATCCCATACTCATGTTTCTAAACTGTAGGAAAATTCCTCTACAGTCAGAGAGTTCAGACGTTTTCAGTATGAAATTCCTGATAGCTCACCTCACTTTTTTCCCAGAAAAAGGCACATTCACTCTCTCCTGTCTCAGACCTTCTATAGTAGTGTAATTCTTCTTACCAAATTTATTCTTCAGTATTGCTGTTGAAGGACACCCACTTTTTCCCTTTGGCTTTGTAAACACTTTGTGTTATAAGGGCAGGATATTTAAAAGTTGAAGTCATTGACTTGCAAAATGAAAAATGACTTTTGAGAGCATCTTGCTGTTTGTTTATACCACGTAACTGAGAGCAGTGCTAACACTGAGGTAGCTGCTAATTTTTATGTAGTTCTTACCAAGAAATTAAAAGAATGTCATTTATGCAGCATCAGGATATGACAGAGGACTTCAAAATCCCCAGAAAGCTTTTTTACCATATATCCACACACAGTCTCTTGGGATGTGGGAAGGAATTATTGCTCACATTTTTATACATGGATAAACAGAGGCAACTCCGGCATTAGGTGAAGGATATGTGGGAATTTTTTTTCCAGTTTTATTGGGATATAATTGCAAAAGAACATTGTGTAAGTTTAAGGTGTACAATGTATAGATTTGTTACATTTATAAATTGCAAAATGATTCCCTCCATAGCATTAGCTACCACCTCTATCCTGTCACATAGTTAAAATTTCTTTTTTGTGGTGAGAACGTTTAAGACCTACTTTCTTAGCAACACTCAAGTATATAATATAGTAGTATTAGTTATAATCACCATCCTGTACACTAGATCCCCAGTCTTGTAAATCTCATAACTTGAAGTTTATACTCTTTGACCCAATCTCCAACTCCCCAGCCCCACTCTAGTCTGTTATTCTGAGTTTGTCTTTTTTAGATTCCACATAGAAGTGAGATATATTTATCTTTCTCTGTCTGCCTATTTCACTTAGCATTATGTCTTCAGGGTCCATCCAAGTTGTTGCAAACAGCAGGATCTCCTTCCTTGTCGTGCCTGAATAATATTCCACTGTGCGTGTGTGTGTGTTTGTACATACCACATCTTCTTTGTCCATTCATCAGTTGGTAGACATTTAGGCTGTTTCCTTATCTTGGCTCTTGTGAGTAATGCGGCAGTGAACATGGGAGTGCAGATATATCTATGAGATCCTGATTTAAATTTCTTTGGATATATACCCAGAAGTGGGGTTGCTGGATCATATGGTAGTTCTGTTTTTAATTTTTTAAAGGAACCTCCATACTGTTTTCCATAGTGACTATACCAATTTGCATTCACACCAACAGTGCACTAGGGTTTATGTAGGAATTCTTTATACTAAGTTTGCAACATTTTTATGTAAGCCTGAAATTATGTCAAAATGAAAATAAAAATATTAATAAAGCAGAGAGTAGCAATGGTTAATAAGAGAAATAAGCAGTAAGATCTACTTTCCAGTATTTACTTATTTTTGATCTCTGAGGATACAGCAGTGTCTGTTTTTAAATCTATAAATCCCATCAGTAAAGAAACTCAGCTGAGAATGCTCCTAATGTTGAGAGGTCCCTCTCCTGTTAACTCCCCAGGCGCAGTGACCCTACCGGCCGACCTCACTCTTGGCATTTAACCAAATTTGGGGAGAACCAACCAGATGCCAGCATGATGCAAATAACTCCGGGCACGATTGGCACTCCTTGGCCCCAGAGATACCATTCCAGGTAAGTGGCCCCAGCTGAGACTCGGGGCTTTTCTTCTTTCCGAGGTCTTGAGAACATTTTCTTACACTCACTTCGAGTATTAAACCTCTCTACCCACCAGCTTCCTCATCCTCTTAAAACTCCGAATGTATACCAGTTATCTTCATATCCTGGGCTAGGCTGGCACAAAGGGAGGCCATTTGAGTTAATTACAGGGTCTGTCCATTCTCAGACACTTCTCAATTACATATGGTAACACTACTAGAAAAATTGACGAGCTTCTTCCCTCACGGCTTACTGCCCTTCTTAGCCAAATATGCATCTGCTTTTTACTGAATGATCTTATTCTTGTATTTGAACTCCCCACTCGTTTTTATCCTTCTGTTAGGCCAGTTATCCAACTTAGCTCCAACCCAGAAAGTTAACACACTTAGGGCTGCTCAGGGTACACATTGTCTCATGTGATATGACATGCTTTCTTCTGTGTAAAACACACACAGTAGTCTTAACCCCATTTTACAGAACAGGAAGTTGAAGCTTGCAGAGACTAATTTGTCCAAGGTCAAACAACTGATCAGGACCTGAGTCTAGACTCAAATTCAAGCCAGGGGTCAGAGCCATGGCCTATAACTAACTACTAGTTCTACCTGCTCTCTTTCTCTAGTCATTGTATCAGTCAAGGTTCAGTCAGAAAAAGGCAAGGCCACTGCAGTGTCATGGGAGAAGGGACGGACTATAGTAATCAGACCTGACACAGTTGAGAGGGAAGCCAAACTTGACCACCAGACATATTAAAGTACTCAGTCAGGACTCCCCTACATTTACTATGGATTCAGAATCCATGCAAATTAGAATCCATCTTCTGATGCCAGGGAGTTTGACCCTGTTGCTTCAGGCTTTTTGAAAGTGCTTATATAAGGGTAATGGCAGGGATGGGAGGGTAAAGAGGATATGGGTCCTATATGCAAATGAGATGCAGGTGCTGATGGGTCAGGTGGGGGGAGGGGCAAGACTTCTGGAAGGATTACTTAACTAACAGATGGTGGCTCCACATTTGGCAAGGTCAGGACTCGGAACCCTTAACTCATGTCCAGTCAAATCAAGGGCCAATTCCTAGACTCCTCACTGATGGACGTGGCTCCTGGCACATCAGGGTAGGCTTCAGGCCACAGAAAAGAATTTCATGGTGACCCTCCTTGTTAGACACTCCTCTCCCTTGCCCGTGTCCCTCCCACTAACCCTGAAAGAATTTATTCTTGCCATCTGGGCTCAGAGAACAGGGCCCCTCGCTGGGCGCCGCCTGCACCCAGGCATAGCACTTTCGCTCTCTGGGCCTTTGGAAGGTAAGATGTGGAGGGCCCTGCAGTGCGAAGGAAAGAAAGCATAGTGGGAAGGCACTTGGGCTTAAATCCCAACTTCACTGCTTACTAGATGAGCTTGAGCAAGTCATTTAACCTCTTTGATCTTGTTTTTCTTGTCTGTAAGATGAAATTAATAATATGTATCCCACTGGATCCATGTAAAACATTTAGTGCAGTTCCTGGAACGTAATAAGCACTCAGTAATTACAACAGTTACAATAATTAGGCTGAAGACTTATCAGAGGCACAGTGAAACCTGATAATAAATTTCAAGGTTAATAGCATAAACCGGCACGCACATAAAATGCAATTGTGTATTAGCAGAGTGCTCCTCAACAGTGGGGCCCTGTGCAGCCTCCCAACGCCTCACCTCCCCAGGAGGCCCTGAACCTGCTCATACTGTAACCTAAAACACATGAGCAGAAGGTAAGAGTGCTGCAGTTGGTGCTCAGAAGAGCTGCCTCCAGGCACTAAGAGAGTTGGCCACTGGAGAACTGTGCAGCTGGTGCTAGAAGATTAGCGCTCTGAAGGCTGCGTGTCCGCACCTCCCGTGTCCTCTGCCCCGTCCCAACCTCCACAGGGAGTCAGGCAGGTGGATCCATCACTGCGCTTCTAATGCAAGCTTCAGGACAGATGCCGCCGAGCGTTGCACAAAGGACCACGTAGGGTACGAGGACAAAGGCAAGCTCACGTTCCCCACAGCACTACAGACCTGAGGATTCTCTTCTTCGCCAGCACAGGTCACGCTGTGGTCTGTTAGGTCCACGCCTCAGGCTTGCAGCGCTGACAGATGCCTCACCCCAACTCCGTGTTCTCTCAGAGGGCCTGACGTGGGTGGCTGTCGGTGGAGACGCGCTCCAGGCACCTTTCCAAGGAGCACAGTAACATCCAGTGGTCTGGTGCGCCAAACCAGCTGTTTGGCATCCCTCTGACAGCCTGCCTTTGGTTCTAGAAGCCCAATCTCAGTCCTGAGTTTATGGATCTGTTTCTCATATAGAAGCTGGTGCACCAGGGAGCTTAGGGGAGAGGGAAGCACAGGACAAGTGATTTTAAGTGCCTGCAAGCTGGTTTAGATCTGGATTTCATCGGCTTCCTGTCAGACCTGGCTCACAGTCTTTTTTGCTGTCCTGCAGAACTCTCACACAATTAAAGTATACTTCAGAAGAGATCTGGAAAAGTCATGTAATCTAGCCCCTCAGCGGAGGCTGAAATAACAGTATCAAAATGCTGAAGAACCAGTACTACCTCTCAGGTGATTTCTGGTTACTAGGGGTATAATACTGAACAAGACCAAAAAAGCGCCCACCTTATAATATTTGTTGACCAAGGTCTGTTCCATGGATTAATCATCCATTAGATGCTCCTTGGAAAAAAGTTCCTAGGATCAAATTAATTTAGAAGACACTGTTTACTATAGTTTCCTTTTAGAACATCACATGAACAATAGTTTATTAAAGACTCAGAAGTCTTATAGCAAATAGAATTAATTTACTTAGCTCGGCATTTTCCAAACATTTCATCATCTAAGGAATCCACATTCTATGAGTGCACTTTAGAAAATGCTTTCATACACTTGTTTTGTGCTCTTTGCTGTGTGTTTTAAGTATTTAGAAAATACATGTAAACACACAAAAGAGTAATATAAGAATTATAAGTAATATTATAAGACTACGTGGATCGACCACAAAAGTAACATTTTGTCATATTTGCTTCAGATCTTAAGCATTACAGACACTGTTGAAGTCTCTCTCATATAATGAAAGGGATATAAGGTAATGTCAAGTAGTGGTAAGTACTATGAAGGAAATAAGCAGAGTAACAAGTGGTAAAGATGGGGGAGATGCTCTTTAGATGCTCTTGCGTTCAGGAAGTCTCCCAAGCAGAGACTTGAATCAGGTGAAGAGCATACCATGTGGTGGGAACAGTGGGTACAAAGGCCCTAAGACACTGGAAGAGCTTTCGTGGGTTTGAATTACAGGAAGGAGGCCATTACACTGCAGTGCAGTGAGCAAGAGGGGACCAGTAGAAAATGAGGTTGGGAGCTAGCCAGACCACGATAAGAAGCTTGACACACTTACTTGACAGTAGGGCTGTCTCTGTATGGGCTGGAACTGTTCCAGGGAATGAAGACCTCATCCCAAGTTCTTCTTCCCCACCATTAAAAGTGCGATCTTGGAAGCAAGAACGGCAAAGATAATCAGAATGACGACTTCCAGAAAGTGGTGGAAGAACTCCGTAGAGGGTGATGTCAGTGCACTCGATGGCACAGCATGCCACTTGGGTCTGTTCCCCACTCAGCTTTGGAGTGGAGATTTCCAAGGGATAGTACATGGTACATTCCACCTGAGGTTTGGTGGGTTAAGTTTCCTTTAGCCACAGGATGGAACCCGTTGTACCCTTGCTCTGCCTAAAGATATTTACACCAGCGATTTTGTATTTCTAGACATCTACATTTTGAGATGTTAGTAATGACACTTCTTGCCCTTCAATCGTGAGAGTTTCAGTTATTCCGTCTCTTCGCTTTGACTTTTTGTGTGTCCCTAAGTAGATCTGAATTATCCTTTCAGTGAAAGACTGCTAAAATTCCCAGCAGTTGGGGATTAAGTGGTGCCTACCACCTGCATGGAACTGGTGAGCAAAAGGGCCATGATGGGGTATACGGCTCCCATTTCCACTCGAAGCATTAGCTCTGTATCTCCTGTTAGAAGAGATGAAGGGAAGCGTAAGTGGGTCATAGGAGATTATCCTCAACTGAGCTGTCATGTACGTTAACACAGTCTTCATTTGAAGGGGAACTGGGAAGAGGGGGAGGGGGTAAAATCTGGCAGTGACATATGCCACACCGTTGAGTGCCAGGACTGGTATCTTTAGTCTGGCTGGCTCAAGAGCTGTTCCTTCTTTTCTCCCTTGAATTTACACCTGTCCCTCCCGAAGGGGGAGGCTCCATTCAGTAAACGGACTCTGTCTAAAAAAGAAAAATTACATCCTTGAGGTGAACTGCTGAAAATGTAGTCTTCCTTGAATTCCAGTGCCAGTTTTGAATCAGAATATGGTCCTTCCGGTCTCTTGCCATAGACCCTGGATTTAGGCCAGCCATAAAACATTATCCTATGCTTAGTCAGGAAGACACTGTATTTACTTCAATGAGATCCAGAAATATAATCATAGCCCCATGAATTTTAATAGTGCTTAAACACCTATTCATTTAAAAGTACAAAAGCTTAGCAAAAAGTTTTAGTGTTTACCCTTCTGTAGAGAATGGTGAGTCACAAACATTTGAACAGTTTCGAGACTGTTTGATTTTTGAACCACTTACTCCTTTCTGTATGCCCTCACTCCCTCCCCCCAACGTGCTGGGTGAAGTATATTTTAACATTTGTAACTAAAGCTAATTAGAAGTAATTTTGTTTTGAGGCAACTCTCTGGGGGATGCCATGTCAGGATTGAGAATCTGAAAAATCACCTGGAGGACTGTGTAAAGGAGAAGGTCTTACCTTTCTAAGTGTTTGAAGGAGGCTTTGCTCGGGCTTTGGGAAGCCATCCACAGGTGATAGACTCCTGTAATTAAGATTTCTTTTAACGCTTCCCTCTCCTGTCAGCTTTTTCTGACTTTGCCATTTCTCTGAATTTCTCTCATTCAGCTTTGTGTTTAGCTTTCTCACTACAATCAAATTGTCTCTAGTAGTTGAGATTCCAGGAAGATTGCCAGGGTATAGCCCTTCAATTCCATAAAAAGGAAAGATTAACTAAAAACACACACGTGCACACAGTCTCCCTCACCCGGTGCACGTGCCTGGTCTCTTACTAAGCTCTTCCCCTTCTTCCCACAAAGAGCCCTAAGAGACACAAAACTGCAGTCTCTCTCACTCCTCCTCCTCCTCTCTTCTTTCCTCCCCCATCGCTCATTTCTTGGCACACACAGAATGTCACTTGCAGCACGCAGCAAGTCACATCAACGTGTTGCCTCTACCTAGAGGCTGCGCGGCTTCCTCCACGCCCCCCGTTCTGCCCCTTGCAAGCCCGGGTGATTAATTAGAGGCGCACAGGTTACAGTGTTGGGCAATTACTCCTCGTGACAACACACAAGGAGGCTGAGCAAGGCCCAAATTGGCCCTTTTCACCCACCCTTCCAAAAACCAAACATCTTGCACAAGAGTACATTTATAAGCTAGGCCCTGTGCCTGTGAGCCTCCCAAACGCTATTGTCTCCCTTTCTTCTAGCTCCTCTACCAGTGACCTCTCCAGCTTTGACCATGCTTATCTGAGGCGAAGCCCTGACCGCTGCAGTTCCCAGGGGAGCATGGAGAGCCTGGAGCCCAGTGGGGGATACCCACCCTGCCATCTTCTTTCCCCTGCCAAGTCCACTGGCAGCATTGACCAGCTCAGCCACCTCCATAACAAGAGAGACTCGGCATACAGCTCCTTCTCCACCAGTTCTAGCATCCTAGAGTATCCACCCCCTGGCATCTCTAGCCGGGAGCGGTCAGGCTCCATGGACACCACTAATGCTCGGGGTGGCCTCCTAGAAGGGATGAGGCAGGCTGACATTCGCTATGTCAAGACAGTCTATGATCCCCGGAGGGGAGTCTCGGCCGAGTATGAGGTGAACTCTTCAGCCCTCCTTCTCCAAGGGAGGGAGGCCCGAGCGTCAGCAGATGGTCAGGGCTATGATAAATGGCATAATGTTCCTCGGGGTAAGGGAGCACCACCCCCATCCTGGAGCCAGCAGTGCCCCAGTGCCTTGGAGACCACTCCCAACCTGCCTCCTAAAGTGGGCGCACCCCTGCCCCCAGCTCGGAGCGACAGTTACACAGCCTTTCGGCAGCGAGAACGACCCAGCTCGTGGTCTAGCCTCGATCAGAAGCGGTTCTGTCGGCCTCAGGCAAACCCGGCAGGCTCCCTGAAATCTCCCTTCATAGAGGAACAGCTGCATACCGTGCTAGAGAAGAGTCCAGAGAACAGCCCCCCAGCGAAGCCCAAGCACAGTTATCCCCAGAAGGCCCAACCTGGCCAACCTCTGCTGCCAACTGGCATCTACCCAGTCCCTTCTCTGGAGCCACACTTTGCCCAGGTGCCCCAGCCTTCTGTGAGTAGTAACGGCACGCTCTACCCAGCACTGGCCAAGGAGAGTGGGTATACAGCTCCTCATGGAGCTTGTGACAAGATGGCTACCTTTGACGAGAATGGGAACCAAAATGGATCTAGCAGGCCTGGGTTCGCCTTCTACCAGCCTCTAGAACATGATTCAGTGTCCCCAGGAGAGAGGAAACCTGAAACTTCAGCCAGATGTGTCCCCTACAAAGTCCATTTCCCTTCAGTACCTGAAAATGAGGAGGATACCTTCCTGGAGAGACAGCTCACACCTCTCCGAGGCAACAGCCCACATCCCAATGAGAGAAGGAGCACCCACAGCAACAAACCATATTCTAGTTACCACAGCCTCAGATCCCCTCAGGCCTGGCAAGTGGGTGAAGACAAGAGGTCCTCCAGGCCCTCAGAGCCTTGGGAGGGTGATTTACATGAAGACCACAATGCCAACCTGCAGCAGAGGCTGGAGAGGGAAAGCCTAGGCCAGAGCCTGTCGAACAACTTTGGCAGGACCAAGCCAGGCTTTTCCTCTCTCCAAAACATTCCTGAGAGTCTAAGAGGGCAAAGCAGATTGGAGCTAGGAGGAGGAGCCCAGGAGGGCTACCTGGAGGGCTGGTCTACCTCTGTAGTCAACAGCAAGGTAGAAGACTCTGGAAGGAAAGCTGTTCCTGACCACAGGAGCCAGCTGGACAGGCCAGTCTCCTATCCAAGGCCTGAGGCAAGAACCAGTGCCTTGGCCTCTTTCCCCAGTTCAGACCCAAGGTATGAGGAGCCTCCCTCCCCACCCCACCAGCAGACATCTAGTCTGGGCAGGAGGCGGCTCAGCTCCAGCAGCACCTCCGCTCTGCAGGGCTTTCAGTATGGGAACCCCCACTGCTCCGTGCTGGAGAAGGTTTCCAAGATCGAGCAGCGAGAGCAAGGGAGCCAGAGACCCCCAAGTGTGAGCAGCTCTACTTACGGCCACAACTACAGGCCCAACAGGACGCTTGCGACTTCTAATACTTTTGGGAATGACTTTGACGAGACAAAAGCCAATGTCCGTTTTTCTGAACCCACTGAACCCATAGGCAATGGGGAGCAGCACTTCAAAAACGAGGAGCCAAAGCTGGAAGAGGTTTCCTGGCAGCCATGTGGTCAGCAGTTGAGGCGGGGTGCCGATGTCGGCCGTGGCCCCCAACTTCACGGCAGTGAGCCCCCGAGGCGGGACCCTCACCTGCTCCGCAGCCAGAGCACCTTTCAGCTCTTCGGCGAGGCGGAGAAGGAGCCCGTGTGGCTGGACGAGAGGCCCGGCACGCCCGAGTCGCCGGTGCTGGACGCCCCCTTCAGCCGTGCCTACCGGAACAGCATCAAGGACGCGCAGTCCCGTGTCCTGGGGGCCACCTCCTTTCGACGCCGGGACCTCGAGCTGGGGACACCGGCAACTTCGAGACCCTGGCGCCCGCGGCCCGCCTCGGCGCACGTGGGGCTGCGGAGCCCGGAGGCAGCGGCATCCGCCTCCCCACACACGCCTCGTGAGCGGCACAGTGTGACCCCGGCCGAGGGCGACCCTGCCCGACCCGCGCCCCCTGCCGCCCGAAGGGGGCCGCGCCGCCGCCTGACCCCCGAGCAGAAGAAGCGCTCCTACTCAGAGCCTGAGAAGATGAACGAGGTGGGGATCTCGGAGGAGGCCGAGCCGGCGCCCTCGAGCCCGCAGAGGAAGGGGCTGCGTTTCCCCGAGAGCGCGGTGGCGGATCGGCGCCGCATCTTCGAGCGCGACGGCAAGGCCTGCTCCACGCTCAGCCTGTCGGGCCCGGAGCTCAAGCAGTTCCAGCAGAGCGCTCTGGCCGACTACATTCAGCGCAAGACCGGCAAGCGGCCTTCCTCCGCCGCCGGCTGCGGCCTCCAGGAGCCCGGGCTGCTGCGGGAGCGCGCCCAGAGCACCTACCTGCAGCCGGGCCCCGCGGCGCCCGAAGGCCCCAGCCTCGCCTCGGCCTCCAGCCTCTGCTCCCTGCGGGAAGCCAGTCTGCAGCCCCGCAGGGAGGCCGTCCTCCTGCCGGCCGCAGCAGTGGGGGGCGCGGGGGAGTCCCCGCGGGCCCCCAGAGATCGCAGCAGCTCCTTCGCTGGAGGCCGCCTCCTAGGGGAACGGCGACGTGGGGACCAAGCCCCAACGGAGCAGCTCGGTGGAGCTAGTAACTATGGACCAATGAGCACCCAGAGGGTGGACAGAACCCCTGGGGAGCCCTCCGCGTGGGGAGCCGCGGCCAAGAGGGCTGGGAAGTCCATGTCTGCAGAGGACCTGCTAGAGCGCTCCGATGTCCTGGCGGTCCCTGTCCATGTGAGATCACGGTCCTCGCCCACTGCAGACAAGAAGTGTCAGGTAAGTGCAACCAGAGGGTCTTAGAATGGGGCCTTTCGGCCCCAGAACTTTTGTGAGGCTCCCCTATCCCCCTGCTTCTCCCCACTCTAATTTTACTGTTATATGCAAAAGGGTAGCATTTGTTTTCATGGAGTGATTTCTTTCTCCATGCCATGATACCCTTACAGAGATACAGATAGAGTTGTATAGATATCTGTGTGTGTGTGTGTGTCTGTGTGTACCCTTCATTTTAGGAAGTTACCCACCTCTCAGGGCAAGAATGCATGGTTAGGAAAAGTTAGGGATTATCTTTTTTGCTGGTTTGGTTTTTTTATATTCATGGAATAGAGACTCAGTATTTTAAAGATTTTAGCTTTGCACCCTGTTTCTGACTTTTACATTTACAAAACAAGAATTATTAACTCTAATAAGTTACTGGCTATCAAACTCCTGGCCCTCAGCTAAGTATGCTTTACATTTGTTATCTCATTAAGCCTCAATCCTCCTGTGTAGGATATTGCCCACATCAAACCTATCTGAATTCTTGGAGTGCACCACTTTGGTGAGATAGGAGAATCAGACTTTCCAATTCTCACATAAAAGGATTTTCTAATAAAGATTTCAAACTATTCAAAGATTATGAAGTGCTTTCCACTGAAGATTTCAGCATAGCTAAGCAATAGAACCTGAGCACTAACTCCCAGGAGTCTACTAATTGCCCTAATTCTTAGTCACTCCTTGCTGCGAGTACACTGCAGATCAAAGGCCTACCTCATGGTTCCCTTCCCACCTCAGAAGATATTAGGAATTCACATCTAGGTCAGCACAGGGGAGAACACTCCTCCACTGTCCCTTCTCGCATTCTGTTTTCCCCAGCAGAGAAGTCAGTCGTTTAGCAAGACTTTGTAGAGCATGTGTTGTATGAAAAGCACTGTACTACGAGGTTGAAGGAAACACAGAAAGACGTAAGGCTCATGCCTTTCTGGGGTTCACAGCTGAGCAAGGAATATGATGAACTTCTATATAAATGACACACAGGACTAGCGAATGCTTTGGGAGCAATGATAAATAATATGCTATGGAGGGGAGAGTGATTAATTCTAACTGAGGAGATCTAAGGGCTTCTCTTGAAGGAGATGGTATTTGAACCAGGCTGTGAAGGATGGGTAAGATGTTAAAGGATTGGGGTTGGTAGAAACAGCTGCAAAGAAAGAAAAATTCAGACATTACTGCCTGAGAAGTTTTTTGCTGCACTGCTTCTGAAACAAAATACTGTACCCATCTAGATATTTTGTTTCAAAACACCCAGAAATACTTTCTCTCCAGGATAAATGCACAAAAAATTGTATAGAGGCAGTCCTCCACAAGCTTTCACTAACCATTTTCTTCCCCTCAGAATGAAGCACAGAGCTAATTTCTACTCCTTATCCTACCACTAAAACACTTAAAATCCATGTATGTAACATACAATTTCAGCTAGTTTGATGAACTTCAGTAGCATAACGACCCCAACATTAATTTTTCTTCCCATGTTCTCTAAAGAAAAGAGAAATGTTGAGGTGAAAACTAAGTCATATTTGGCTATTTATTTCTTACTATATTTCATTATTCTCCCTTGGGGAATTGGTTGGATGGCTCTGAATGTTACTCTGCTTTCTCCCCAGATATTGAGAAAGTGGTAAACTGGGAAATAAAGCTAAAACATAGGTGTAGGGAAATGACGAAATTCCTCCAAATCCCAGCTGAATACGTTATTTGAAAAACTTTTAGAAAAGTACAGAACATTATTTACATCCTCTTCAATAAAGAGAATACCATATTTAGATATTTAATTTGGGGACTCTGATGCCAGAAGGGGAATATTTTCAAAATGAAATACTTTCTCTGTGCTGCTTTGCTTCTACAAATTCTGAAAACAGATTACCAGCCCCCAGATTGTAATTGTGCCGGGACTGTGCTCTGGAGCATCCTTCTCCCATTCTCCCACCAGCAACCAGACCTTGCCTGCCCCAAGACCTGGTCCACGGCAAGGTCTTCGCCTTGCATCTTCTTCATATAGCCGTCCTCTACCCTATTTGTAGAACTAGTTAAAAAACAAAACTAGTCTCTACACAATTACTGTGGTTCTTATTTCAGGATATTGTATTTTTTTAATGTGCATGAATTCTAGAGACTTTACAATTATTATTAAGCTTTAATGAAGGTATTCAATAAGAATTTGTCTCATCCCAGCTTTAGAGAACTCTGAGAAATTAAGTAACCCTGCAGAAACTGTCTGCCTACTAAGTTAAAGCCAAAATATGAAGTCGTTTTCTGGGGCTGGCTCATTCCATGGCATCCTGAACAAATGTTCCTTGCTCCTGCCAGCCAGATGCTTATAGAGCAGGATTTTATAAGCTTTTGACAAGGATTCAGTTCCTTTTCAGAAGTCCATTAGTGAGGACAGTTTCTGCCTCCCAGACAAGGTCAACATGGAAATCAGTTTCTCTGTTTATACAAATTGATCATTCTTGCACCTAAATAACTGCAGAAGGCTGCCACCACTCATAGCCTGAGACCTGCTCAGACACTCAGGAGGCCTGGGCCTCTCCTTAGCCAGCGATGGTTCTCTCTGAAACATGCAACCTTTTACTACTTCTCTCTTAATTCTTCTTCATTTGAAAAGTGTAACTGCAGAACAAATGGATATTAGTGATGGCGCTGAAGGACACATCAAATTCTTGCCTATTTCCTACTTTCTATGAAACTTTGGAAAACTTAACCTTTTTAAAATGGGTGGGCCCTGAAAAAGCTGCCAGAAAATACCCAAATATTCCTGCTTCAGAGATGAAAATTTACACCTATTCATTGCATAGATTTAGAATCCAGCAAAGGCTATAAAAAGAAACCTTTGGAGAAATAAGATTTCTGGCTGGGAGTTGCTTTTTCCAGATGCTGAGTTAGAGGTTTCTCTGGTTCTCACTGTATTTACAGAGACCTTGGTTCGTGATATATAAGATATTCACCATGTGATGGTGTGACAAACATTTAATTGCTGAGGAAACTGCTTAGTTCATCCCACAGTGTTTGGATATAGGCTTGATTCTGTAGAATGCAGCTTGTAAATCATTTTAGCACCCCTCAGGAAGCACCCATTCAAGCTTGTGCATAAACAGAATCACCTTTCCACAAAATGTGAAGTTACAAATTGCTAGTAATAATAAAAGTCTACTGTGTATGCACTAGTCATTGTTCTACGTGTCTTATAAGCATAAAAATAATCCTCACATCTACGCAAAGAAGTAGATACTATGGTTCTCTCTGTATTACAGATGAGGGATCTGAGACACAGAAAGGATGAGAAATTTGCCCAAGGTAGTGGGAGGGAGGTTTTTGACCCCATGCTGTCTGACTCCAGATTCTGCAAGTCACTATACCATACTCCCTCCTTGAATAAAAAAAGACTGGGGGAGGGAGGAGGCAAGAGTTAAATATCTGAAAACTTCAAGCCAATGAATTGATTTCATTTTAACATTTACTGATTACTGTTATTCACATTTAAATAAAATTTTAAGATTTCTCAAATGGATTCCTAATTCATTTTTGCAGATACTTGGAAACTGATATCCAAAGTAGATGAATACTATCATCATCATATTTCACTGGCCACAGAGTTAGTAGGATATCTAACTCCGAACCCAAAGCAAGAGTGTAAGGATTGGGACTCAACTTTAGGTTTATAAAGTTTGCTATGCCTAACGAAGACTAAGAACAGGGGTATTTTTTTAGGTCAGTCATCAGAAGTCAGATAACTAACAAACACAAATAGACATTTACCCAAGTATCTATTGGAATATACCTCGTATTTCTCCCATAGCCATTGCTGTTTCCTAAATTGCCGTAAGTAGTTTATTTTCTATAACTGGTAGGAAGTATAAAGTCTTCTTTGGCAGTGAATATATGCCCAAATCAGAACAAGTAAATGTAACAGAAACTGATCTCCTTGGGCTTGTACGAGGTTGGACTTCTGTCCAAATGATATTGTCATCGACAGAGTTAGAGAGTTTTCTTAATGGCCTATTAGTGGATCTAACTTCCTTTATCTTGTGCACACCCACATAAATATCAACTTAAGCTTGATATTCTGGGGGCCAACTCATGTGACTGCAGAGGTTAAACTCCTTCTCATACTGAAATTCAAAGGAAGTAAGAAAATGGGAAAATAGACTTAATTGTTAGTGGGCAAGGACCTCACAGGGGATCTAGAGGCATTCCCAGTTAATTGCACATTCTTGTCAAGAGGGGGGTGGAGTGGGGAAAGATTTTAGAAGGACCATAAGGTTCCATGGAGAGCGGGAATTCCCATTCCCTAGAGTGATATTTGAGCAAATCGGAGACGCATGGAACTCCTTTTTCTCAGAGTATTCAAATCTGATTGCATCCAGCCCAGCCTCTACACACTTATGAAGATGCCAAGGACAGATCTTGGGCTTTGAAGACATCATGGTTTGAATGCTCGCTCCTCCACTTTAACTGTGGGTAAATACTTCACCTCTCTGAGCTGCAGTTACCTCCCTCACCTTAGTGTTATAGATTAAATCACAGAGGGACTACTAAGTTACCTGATACAATTCCAGGCACATAATTTGAGGATTTTAAGGTACTTTGCAGTGTCTGGGACTCAGTAAATGCAATAAGGGATAACTGCAGTTCACAATATTCATGTGTTTGTTTTCCCTTCAGGCCTACTACCACCTTTGGCTCTTTTTTTCTATTGCCTTTCAGTACTTCTACCACTGACTGGAACAACAACAACAAAAGGTGGACAGATTAATGGTGAAATAAGTTGCTAAAACTAAGGGTAGGGATCAATATGGATTTAATTTCTCTGTTATTTATAAATAATTGAAAATTAAATGTATTATCAATAACAACATCCTTGTCTGCATCAAGACCTGTTCACATGGGCCAAATTTTATGCTATCAAAAACTCACCAAAAAAACCACAGAACACCTCACCTATCACCCTTTCAGGAAACCAGTCTATATACCCTTACTAAAAACAAAAACAAGTCATGACTACCCCTGAAAAGTTACCAGAGTTACTGATATTACATGTGGGTGAGATGTTTTTTCCTGAAGGGAATATACTTCAACCTGATTACAAGCCAGATGCATATCTTTTCTCTAATTAGAACTCAGAACATTTGAGATTTTTTGCTACATTCAATAAACGATCCTTTTCCTTGTCATCTCCCATATTTCCCTATTGCTGTTTCGAAAGTTTGGCCCTCTGAAATCATTTTCATCATTGTATTTCAAGTATAGTGGTTATTCTGAACCCTGGAGGTAACTGTCATCAGACTTCTGCTTAGAAAACATCTTTGTGAGGAGAGACACCTGGGGAGACAGACTGAGGTGCAGATCCTAGCTCTGCCACTTGGGAAGGGTAACTGCTCTGGGCCCATGTCATCCTCACTGCTCTGGGGTTGACAGTGTTGCTGGGGCCGTGGGGGTGAAGTGGATAGTATGCAACAGTGCTGTGTTGGGGCCTGACACTAAGTAGTAGGCCTCCAACAAAGGTTCCTTCTCCTTTCTACCTCCAGCCTCTTGGTAAATTTAAATGCCTCTTTGTTGGTCATAATGCTGTGCCTTTCTTGTGTTTCAAGGATGTGGTTTTGGGGGAAAGCAACAGCTTTGGTCTTGTGAAGGATCCATGTTATCTGGCTGGCCCTGGGTCCAGGTACGTACATGTATTTATGAGGCCCTCTGCCTTATGAATGCTGGAGTTAAATGCTTCTCTTCTGCTCTACGAGAAAGGGAAATGTGACATTAAGATGTTTTGTGTTATTGTGTGCCGCCTTTTCAATTTGTCTAGGCCATAGGAAACGTCTAAATTTTTTATTTATAGGTGACTTTCTCTAAGAATGATACTTATTCAGAATGGGTTTTGATTGTGCACTAGGGAGGCAGTAGTTGACTTCAGTTAAGGTTAGCCTTAGAGTAGTTCCTGGAGATGCTCTTCTCAAGCATATCCTGTGGTTCACAACTGGGGCCTCACTTGTGCGGCTCTCTCCGGGTTCTGTGCACAAAGGATCAAGTCTGGTGACTAAAGCACTAGCAGAAGAATGAGCATCTCATGAACAGCTTCACAGAGCAAGACAAATTTATCAGAAGCACACGAGGTAAAAAATAAAGCTCCCAATCATAATTTTTAGGCACTGAGGGATAGGAAATAGAGTTAGTTTAAAATTGCCATCAAGGGGTGCCTGGGTGGCTCAGTTGGTTAAGAGCCAGCCTTTGGCTCAGGGTTCGAGCCCGGAGTTGGGCTCCCTGCTCAGTGGGGAGTCTGCTCCCCCCTCCACTCACTCTCTCTCTCTTAAAAAAAAAAAAAAAAAAAAAAAAAAGGCAGCCCATGTGGTGTCAGGAAGTGGGTATTAAGTTACCTTCTTTACTAGCAGACTTCCCCGGCTATTTGCTCTTGCTCCCATAGTTGTGCTTAAAGTGAAGAAAGTATTCAAGGTGAGGCTCAGAGCTTTGGTTAGTTTCAGTGCATTGCTTAAAAGCTAGAGACAAGGGAAAACTGACAGTGACCTAGAGCATTGCCAAAAGAGAATTGTCTAAAGTCAAAGGTGAAACTCAACTCAACCACAAAAAATCAAATACCTCAATTACAAAAAGAACTTGAGTAGACATTTCTCCAGAGATGATAAAAAATGGCCAGCAAGCATATGAAAAGATGCTCAACATCACTCTCAGAGAAACATAAATCAAAACCACAATAAGATACCACCTCATACCTATTGGGATGGCTACTATAAAACAAAACAAAACAAAACAAAAACAAAACCGTAAGAAAACAAGTGTTGGTGAGCATCTGAAGACATTGGACCCCTTGTGCAAACATGACTACTAGGCTCCTTTCCCCCCCTCCCCCGCTGCCTACCACCCCTAATTTATAGCCTGGTAATAAATGTCTTTCCCCCCACCAAAAACAATTGTTGGTAGGATTGCAAAATGGTCCAACTGCCTTGGAAAACAGGATGTAGGTTCCTCAAAAAAAACTAAAAAAAGATCTACCATATCCCTTAGCAGTCCCACTTCTGAGTCTGTATCGGGAAGAGTTGAAAGCAATGTCTCAAAGAGGTATTTTCATACCCATGTTCATAGCATCACTACTCACAATAGTAAAGAAGTGAAAGCAACAAAAATGTCCATCAATAGATTTTAAAAATGTGGTACATTCATATAATAGAGTATTATTTAGTCTTAAAAGGGGAATTCTGGTACATGCTACAATATGGATGAACCTTGAGGACATCATGCTAAATGAAATACATCAGAGACAATAAGACAAATACTCTAATTCCACTTATATAAGGCATCTTAAAGTAGTCAAATCCATAGAAACAGGAAGTAGAGGTGATAAGGGCTGGGAGGAGTTGTTACTTAGTAGGTATAGTGTTTCAGATTTACAAGAAGAGAGAGTTCTGGAGATCTGTTGCACAACAATATGGATATTCTTAACACTACTGAACCAAACATTTAAAAATAGACTAGTAAATTTTATGTTTATCACATTTTAAAAAAAAAGCTATGAAGAAAAAAAAAAAAGAGACTAAATGCTTTCAAACTCCATTCTTGAATGTTAGGATTCCTAGATACCTATCAACAGCTGTTTGCCTCTCACACTCTAGTATAAAAGAGACTCAAGGATGGCTCGGTGGCTCAGTCGGTTAAGCGTCTGTCTTCGGCTCAGGTCATGAACCCAGGGTCCTGGGATCGAGTCCCACATTGGGCTCCCTGCTCAGCGGGAAGCCTGACTCTCCCTCTGCCTGCCACTCCCCCTGCTTGTGTGCTTGCTCTGACAAATAAATAAAATCTTCAAAAAATAATAAAAATAAAAGACACCCAAACAAAATCTTTTACCCTATCCTTTGTTCTTGAAAAAATACAATCACCAAGGAGACGCATTCTCAACCAGGCTAAGCATTTAACTCAAATATTACCTTCAAGAATACCCAATTTAAGTATGGTTCTTATAAACTAAGAAGATTAAACAAAAACTAAAAATACATCAACGTTTATTTGGGCTTTATTTTAAATAAAGGATAAATAATTATTTTGGTTTTTAACGATGTCTCTCCTTTTAAAAAAGCCTCAAGATACAAATATAATAAAATGAAGGTACCCAAGTTAGTCATTAAAACAGATTCCAGTTATTCCATGTCCAATTAGAGGATGCTGAGTTTAAAGAATAGTTTATATCCTAGTCTAAACAGCAATTGGGCAGAGACATTGCTTGTTCAGCAGACATTTACTGAGAGGGTACTTTGAACCAAGTACTGAGGATACCAAAATGAATACGGAAGGAAAGCACCCAGCAGGTCCCCTGCCTTTGGATTTTCAGTTCACCCATTTGGGAACCCACCAAGAAGTACAGAGTAGCCAATCTTAGATATTGAGAGCTTCCTGGTAAATAAACTGCCTCTACATGAAAAGGATATTTCAGAGGAAGGGCAAGTTTGCATCTGAGAGAGATGGGCCCCTTAACCATCTGCATGTATAATACAGAAAAAATAACATCACGAGAAGAGCTAATTTGGTTCTTTGCCGTCTTTCCCTTCCATATGCCGCGTTACCCTTGCCTGGTGCTTGGATGGTTTTATGCAGGCCTGTGCTGGGGCTCTGCCCGGGGACTGAACCACAGCTCCCTCAGGACTCAGATCTGCAAAATGAAAAGTTCCATCTGCTCTCCAGATTCACTTGCATACCAGTCAGGGAACTCCAAATGTGGAATTTTCAAATTAGGATGGGTTTGCTGGAGGTTGGTTCTATGCTCACATTAACTTGTAGGGTAGCAGGCAGTGCTGCGGATTTCTGTTGTCCTATGGAACATAGTAACAAAAGTATTGGAAATTGTTGGGTTTGTCCTCAGAGCCAAGGTAGAGGACAGGGGTTTAAATTACCGTGTACCCTATTTGCTCCTTATGATCAATCTCTCTCTCCAGAGATAATTGCTTATTAGCTCCTTGGGTGAGACTCTCCCCCTCCTTCTTACTTTCCATTCTAAAAAATGAAAACACTAGGAGACTAAGCGAAAATGGTAAATCCTTCAGATTCAGCAGCCCTCGCTGATGCTTTCCAAACAGACCTCTCCCATGGGGATCACACTGGGAGAGAATAAGGCAGCCCTCTTTTCCCAAAGCAGTCCTAAAAGGGGCTGAAGAAATGTACCTGTTTCCTTTTAGATCCTGAAGTCTGCCCTGCAAAGCTGGGATATGTGTGCTGGGGGCGGGGCGGTGAGCAGTGAGAGCGAGCTAATAATAGGAAATGCCTTGTGGCCCCAGGTCTACCATTTGACATTTTCCTGTAGGAGTTTATGCCTGTTTGGCATCTTTTTAAAACTCGGTTCTTTGTATGAGCAGCTTCTCTGGAATCCTTTTCCCTAAATGCTTTCCCATCTGTGTAATGAACTCTGGGTTCAGTATCTGCCCCTTTCTTCTGAGCCATAACCCTGTGTTTGTATCCTGCTCCAGGTCATTCAGTTGTTCAGAAAGAGGCCATGAGGACATGTCGTTGCTCAAACACCATCCCAGCCCTCGTTGGGGTGGTCCAGGCTGCAAAGCAGTTGGTGGTGCCTCTGTCCCCAGCAAATGTCCTGGACCCCTGGACCCTCAAAGGCAGGCTAGCAGAACAATGCCTTGCCCTGGGCTGCTCCCCACAGGAATGCCAGGGCACCTCACAGACAGCAGGGCTGCACCCTTGACCCCACTCGGCTCCGCTCTGCCTTCCCCTGCACCCTTGAGCTCTCAGGCTGCAACCGATCAGCCAACTGGAAGGGATGGTCCAATGGGGCAACAGCCTCTTCCGCCCCACACCCAAGCAGTGACCCACAGAAGTGACGGTCACGGCCTCGTCCAGCCTGCCAGTCCAAGAGGCCATGAGCCCAACAGCCCAGAGCATGGGATGGAAGAGGCAACAAGGAGGCGGGTCTCGCTGCCTCAGCGGCCTGCCCCGCCTCGGGTGAAGTGGGCCCACGCAGTCAGAGAGGACAGCCTCCCTGAGGACTCTTCGTCACCTGAGTTTGCAAACCTGAAGCACTACAAAACACGGCAGGCTCCTCCAAGCTCAAGCAGCACTCTTGAGGACACGCCTCTTGGGACCCCAAGCACTCCAGGGAGGCTCTCCCTCCGAATATCTGAGTCAGTCCTGCAGGCCTCCCCACCACCTCGGGAGGACATTGATGATGAAGTGTTTGTGAAGGACTTGTACCCCAATGCCATTTCCAGTCCCACATTTGACCTGCCCCCACCCCCACCGCCTCCACTGAGCCAGGACACACCTGTGAATAGCTTGGACGACTTCCCTCCACCTCCTCCCCAAGCTATGTATGAGGCAGAGCTGGTCAGTGAGGATTACAAGGAGCCCTGTACCAGGTAAAGTGGGCAGACTCTGTGTAGAGCAAGCCCCCCAGCTGAGGAAGGAAAGGATGGCCCTCTTGTGAGAGATTTTCACACTGCAGACTCCCCAGATCCTCCTTCCATTGGCCACTGGAGAGCCCTGGTGTGGAGATTTTCTATACAGTTAAGTCATGAAACTAGCAGAACGGTTTCATTTGTTTACCTTGGCTGGTCGTTACCATAGTACCCAAGACTAGCACTGGGAACAAAGGAACAAGAGTACTGACAATGAACACCAAAGCCCAAAAGGCATAGTTCACTCTATGGACAGGATAAATTCAAAGGGTCCAAATAAATAACATGCCTCTTCCCTGCTTGAGTTCTGAATCAGTTAAGAAGACAAAGGAGGAAGACATAGAAGACAAAAATATCATTTTTATTACCGATAGAGCTGATACTAGAAAATAGGGCTTCTCTGTGAGTGTACGTGGGCCTTGTGATGCTGAGGCCTAGCAGGTTTACCTGCCTAGCCTCAGGCCATGCTAGACACACACTGGGGGTGTGTGTGTGTGTGTGCAGGGAGACGTGTGTGTGTGTGTGTGTGTGTGTGTAGGGAGAGACAGACATATAGATTAGCCTAGAGGCAGCCTCACTCAAAAGAAAAAGAGGCTGGACTATGGACAGGCTATGGTCAGCTTTCTTATCAAAGTCACGCCATGTCCATCAGAAAGGATAAAGAATAGAGCGGTCAGTTAATGTGTAGGGAAAACCTTGTGAAAGCCAAAAGAATGGGTAGAAGCCCTTCCCAACAAATAGTCCCTGGGACAAGTGATCTCTGAACCCCAGAAGAACACAATGCCTCTGTGGTAACCCCCTCTAAACACCACAGGAATGATGTACCAGCCCTGCCCTCTGTTCCCCTGGACCTTTCAGAAAGCTCTGGAATCTCACTGCCACATTCACCAAAGCTGAATTCCTACTAGATCCATTCCCCTTAAAAAGTCACACAGCTTCCCTGTACCAACTGCTGGGCTGAGGAGAACGCCCTTTAGGACCCTGCAGTTTGGGGGGAATGATAACCTCAGAGGACTACCTTGTCCCCACCATTCCTCATGTGAGAAACCACAGCCCTGATGTGGAAAACTTCCCCCTAGTCTTCCTACCTTTCTGCTGACTCCTCTCTTACCCTCTCTTTTTTAATATCCCTAGCAGCTCCAGCAAATTTGCCAAGGTGACAGTTGCCAAGGAAAGGCCCATTCCCGGTACAGTCCATTTAGTTGGTAGTCAGATACCGGCTTCCAGATCCCAAACTTCAATCAAGGTTTCAGAGGCCAACGAGACCAACCCACCTTCCAGCATGGGTGCTCTGCCCCAACTTGATGGGGCTCTTGGCAAGCAGCCAAGCCCCGGGCAGCCACCTCCCATCCATGACCCAGTCTGTGGGACTCAGGGTTTAGAAAAGAATGTCAGTTCTGGCCCTCAAAAGACCTCAGAAGACATTAGAACAGAGGCTCTGGCCAAGGAAATTGTCCACCAGGACAAATCTCTGGCAGACATTTTGGATCCAGACTCCAGAATGAAGACAACTATGGACCTGATGGAAGGTTTATTTCCCCGAGATGTTAACTTGCTGAAGGAGAACAGCATAAAGAGAAAGGCCATGCAGAGAACTGTCAACTGTGCAGAATATGAAGGCAAGAGGTAAGTCCCTGGCAATGCCCACAAAGAGACTTACATTTAAACTCCTTCCATGGGGGTGGTGGTAAGTCTAGGACAACTTACCTGATGTTTTCCTGCCTCCAGAGATTCTGACCCAAAAGTGACACTCCATCTCAGTCTTAGGAGAATGGCTCTGAGGAGTAGGACGTGGGACTGACCGCCCTTGAGTTACCAGGCACTTGCCCAACAACAAAAATGCTCCTGGTACATCATTCCTGTGGTGTTTAGAGGGGGTTACCACAGAGGCATTGTGTTCTTCTGGGTTTCAGAAAAAGAGGCTGGACTATGGACAGGCTGTGGTCAGCTTTCTTATCAAAGTCACGCCATGTCCATCAGAAAGGATAAAGAATAGAGCGGTCAGTTAATAATATAATAATATTATTATTTTATTAATAGTGGTGACAACTGCCATTAATACCGTTAATATTGTTCACATTCTTTGTGTTAATCATTGTATTAATTTTTTATATATACATTATTTCATTCAGTCTTCACAAGAACCTCCTGACATAGCTACCAATTGCATCTCCCTTTTACAAGTGAGCAAACTGAAGCACAGAGAAATTAAGACCATGCCCGACCAAAGTCCTAGAACATGTGAGAGTGGTGGCATCTGAATTTGAACTCGGCACTATGACCGTGCCCGCTCTCTTAATGATTTTACAGTGCCCCCAACTCAGTAAGCAAGCAACTGCCCATTCTCTGTCAGAGTCACCTTGATAGAGAGCCCCCCAGGGGTCCGTGCGGAGAGAGGCAGGGGGAGTGAGCCCATCAGAGGCCTCCGCAAGGCAGAGGTGAGCACAGACTGTAAGAAGGATGAAGCCTAGACAAATGGGTTTATTTACTACACTGACATCCATCCACGTTCCAAGAGTTAGGATGGATGTTCGCTTCAGCCTGAACAGCAAGAAGACCAGAATGTCTGTCTAGACGCTCTTACGGTTTTGTTCAGCTGCCTGCGCGTGTGTTTACTGTGGTGTGATGCGTCCCAGACCCCAGGCACCGGGGTGAGCCGTCTGTATTTGCCGTTCTTCTGCTTTCTCCTGGGTTATTGCAGTATTTTCTTGCACGTTTGATTTCCTTAAAGGATGACTATGGGAAAGGTTTAGGGTGGTTTTTGTTTTCTTTTTAATTTTCAGTGAAAGCTATGTGGATTGATGGACTGGAACTCCACAGTTAGTGGCTTCTAGACTAAATAAAAACAGCATTTCATCTAAATTCGGTCTTGCCTTTTAGAAATTTCCAACTAATCCTAACTAAATTACTAACAGGAATACTATGTTTTGATTTGCGGGAGGGGGAGAAAGGAAAGAGTTATGGAGTCCTTATGAGCTCTTTGAATGTTTGTTGGACACTCTCCTAATATGAGGCCTTAACCATCCCCTTATCCATCCCCTTCTTCAGACTTGGCAGAGACTAACTGAGGTGAAGTGATTTATCCAGGGTCATGTGTTTAGCAAACATTTACTGAGTTCCTACAATGTGCAGGGCAGTCCACTGGGTTCCATGAGGGACCCAAAGATGTGTCTCTGTGGGTGTGCCAGTCACTTAAGTATGGGTGTTTGTAGTAGATCAAAGTTAGGAGCTTCCATTCATTCTGTTCTCTGACCACTTGCTTTAGAAAGTCCAAAGGAACTTACAAATACATCCTTAGCAAAGCATTTCCTAGCATTTCCTTGCGTTCTCTCAGTCAATTTAGAAGTGAAATGGTCATGTAACTTTTGCTGCAGAGACCTTCTGGAGAAATTTCAAAAGGGTGGCATGCGCCATCTTCTGGTGGAAAGGAGCATTGCCCTGTTGTGCGTGAGACTCGGCAAAGAGCCTTTGTGAGGGGTAGTTAATTAAATGCCTGAGAAGCCAATTTGTAATGCAATGAATATATCTGGGGGAAAAGCGTATCAAAAGACCTTTTCCAGTTTCTTCAATTAACTGAATTAAATGTTGCTTAGAACATTTATCATTAAACTATATTGCTTAGAAGAATAGTCCTAGCAAGGAGGAAACTAGTAAAAATGACTTTTTTTTTTTTTTGTGGTTCTTTATTCCTCAGTAAAACGATAGCCTAGATGTTAAATAAAGTCACCAGATTGAAATACCTCTCCCAGAGAACCTAACCCACTTCCACAGCGTCATTTCTTCACTGGTAGCATCTGACCTATACTCTGAGAGACAGCTTGGTTATAGTAAAACAGAGAGCACTAGATACTGGGTTTCTCAATTCCTGGTTTGTTCTCCAAACTCTCAAAACCCCTGCTGTGTAACTAAGGAGTCAACTTCACATCTTGTCCTCACTGACCAGCACAGGCTCTAGGTCTCTTAGGCTCATCTGGTGCATCATGCTTACATGAGACGGAAAAGTGGTAAGTGTCCAGGCAGCAATTAGAGCAGGCGTCAGGAAGATTATGGTGGCCCTGGAAGACTAGGTAACAACTTGCAATCTGAGATGTGTGCAGCACCTTGGAAATACCTTCACAGTCATGGAGTCACAGCTCCCCCGTGGTCTGTGAAATAGGGAGTCAACACCATCCTTATATTTATCACAGAAGGAGAAACCTGCAGGGAGGTTAAATGACTCGCCCAGAGTCAACTGGCAGATGCATAAGCCTGACTCCCAGGCTTCTTCCATGGTACTGCCTTTGGCGTTTTCCAGCCTAGGTCTGCCTGAATCAAGAGCCCTATGCAGAGTAGTTGCTCCTTAGTAAATATTTATTCATCCTGATCTCTGGGAAGGGACTGAATAGAACTTTTTACACGTTTCTGAATGGACAGGCAGGTGGTGACATGAAGCTCCTGGAATGTGCTATGAACTTTTTTGTTCTTTATGGTGCAGGAGTGAAGACAGGGAAGCAGTGGGCATGTTGGTCACCTGCCCTGCCTACTACAGTGTGTCTGCTCCCAAGGCCGAACTTCTGAACAAGATCAAAGATATGCCAGAAGAGGCCAACGAGGGAGAGGAGCCGGTGGATGTCAATGAAAAGAAGGTAAAGGAAGAACTGGGGCCTGTGTTCTCCCCAAAAAGAGAGTCAAGGTCCTAGCAAGGCTACTGGCCCCTTAGGGCAGGAGAGTGAGAAGGGCCTATCACATCACCAGTCCTGCCCGTACCGTCACTGGACCCTCAGCTTCTTGGCACTCAGTGATTTCTCACAGCTTTCCTGTCATTTTCAGTTTTACAGATGACAAAAGTCAAGGTTACTGCCTAAAAGTCACATAGCTGAGACTAAAACCCAGGTTCCCTACCTCTTAATCCAACACAGAGACACCCCAACACTCTTCTCAGAGCTGACCAGCCAAAGCCCATGGTCGGGGTCATTTTCCTTTCATGTTTCATGGTCAGAAGGACCATGGAAACCAGAAAACGTAGAAACTTTAAGGGAAAAGAGCGATTGTCAAAAGACACTTGTGAGAAGAGGTAACGTTAATCTTTAGGTTCCCCAGCGCTCTCTGCAATACCCCAGGAAAGAGCCTGGAAGCACTGTTGGAATTCAGCTGTTAGCAGCTGATACCGCCACAGAAATTTTAAATGTAAAGCATTTTACAAATGCCTGTGATGCCGCCTGTCTTCCCGCATACCCTGGAGATCTGAGCCCCACGGTGCCTGCAGGGGAGAAAGTGCTTGCCATTCCACTTTCCCTACAGCCCCAGAGGGGCCGCCTGCCTGCCCCCCTGCTTTCAGCTCTCCATACGAGTCAGGGTCAGGCCTGCATGCTGAAAAAGGACTCTTTGTTAAAGCTTGTCTCTTGCTGAGCTTGGAATGTAAGTGGTTCTCAGTGGTACCAATTTCAGGAGCAGCTTTCTTATGTGATTCTATTTCATTTACTCTCTGTGTCCTAAGTTCTCTGGTTTCGGTGTGGGTTGAGACCACAGGATATAGACCCTGGGAGCAGGGAGTCATGGGGCAGGAGGATTTAGGGATTTTGGAAGCCCCTCCATCAGGGGGATTCCTCCCTTCCCACTGCTCTAGGTCCTCTGGCTCCGCGGGCCCCCGAGCATATGGCTGACACACTGACGGGCCACTCTAGTGACACACTCTCCCAGCCCAAGGTTTTCCTGTGTGAACACCTACCTCGTGGCACCTTCTGGCACGTCCTTTACTTCAGTGCCGCCAAATGCCCCCATTTAATGGGTCCTCTGGTCAGGAAAAAAAACCCACCTGCTCTGGTCTCTCCATATTTATCCCAAAGAGGGAGCTCTATAAACACCATTACAGGTACCAGGTTGTCATGACCCCTTTCACTGAATATTTGACAGGTTTTTGTTTTGTTTTTTTTTTTTTACATGTAGACATACCCTATTTTACAGTAGCAGTGGGACAAATTACTCATTGCTTTAAAAAAAAAAAAAAGCGTTTCCATCACTTTATTATCAGCCTCTCACTCTGATGATTATGTGGCAAAAGTATTTTTAGACCAAGAATATAAAGGCAGAGGATGAAAACTCACAGGAAGTAGCAGCAGGTACCATGTACCGAGCACTGCTTGTTACGCGGGGGCCGTGTTTTTCATAGTGCCGTATTATCTTTATTTCCACAAAACTGCTCTCACACCTGTATTGCCACATTTTACACTGAAGTCATCAGAATGAGTCAGGGTGAGAGGAGGAGACAAGGCATGCAAGACAAAGGACTGGCCTAGAAAAAGACCTGGAAAAACACAGGGAGCGTATGTACACTGAAGAAAGCTTTTGCCAGAAGTTTGATATTTTGTGATGTAAAACAAAAAGGCCCCTGCCTCAGTCAGAAATTACCAAATTTAGAGGATCACAAAGGAAGGTGACGAATCCCAGACGATGAGGCTGGGAGGCTCCACAGGGACCAGAAGGTCATGGAGGTCACATGGGGCTCTGTGTAAAAGGCTGAAGCGTTTGGATCTTACCGTTGGGCAGTAGAAGACCCTGGGAGATTTTTTTAATGAACTACAAGCTTATTCATGTGTGACAGAATTTTCACTGGTGTCACTTGCATTTACATATCTGATTTGGAAACAGAAAATATGTGAGTTTTAAACAATGTTGTGGAAGGCATCTATTAGTATTCTCAGCAGAGAGTTGAAAATGCAGTTCCCTTCCTGATATACAACAAACTTTCCTAAGGGTGATTTTAAAAACTGATGCTGGGTCAAGATTGTTCCAAGGCAGAGTACAGCTGTCTGCTAACTTTCACAAAGTAATAGTTTATTACCTAATATTTAAAGTTGTTAATAACCTGAGATATACTTCTAGGCATGAAATTCACCAAGAGTCTGTGGAAACTAGAGTCCCAATTTATTAATAAATATTTTTAAAAATTGAAATTAGCCTTTGAGATCAATTCTACTTTAACATTTTTATGTATACATCATAGATGATGGATTATAACGTTCCAAGTAAATGTAAGCATTAAGGTATGAAACCCTTTCATCGTCTGAACTTCTGTCTGAACTAAAGACAGTCTAATAACTAGAATTTTAAATTATTTGCCTAACCCTGCCATATCTAATAGGCAAAAATTTGCTTCAACAGATCCCATGATTCTTTATTCTGAAGGCCAAAAGGCTTTGGCTTAGAGACTTAATGGAATATTTCCAAAGGCAAAAAGAATCTGTTGTTTCTCAGAATTGGCTTTCCCCAAGAGATCATTAGCGACCCAGATGGGCTCTCAGCTGCCCATTTCTGTTGCTCTTCTTCATTCCTCAAGTTCCAGATTTCTCTGGTCTTTCTGTCTTTCAGCCTGAAAGATTTGCTTCAGCATTTCTTTTAAAATAGGGTCTGCTGGTGAGAGTTTCTCTTAGCCTAATTCTTCATCTAAGAATGTCTTTATTCTGCTGCCATTCCTGAAGGATATTCTCACTGGATATGGGATTCTAGGTTGACTGTTCTTTCTCTTTTAGCACTTTAAAATTGTTGTTCCACTTTCTTGCTCCCATGGTTTCTGATGAGAAATGCACAGTCATTTAAGTATTGTTTCTCCTATATGCCATGTGTTGTTTTTCTCTGGCTGCTTTCAAAATTTTTTTTCTCTTTCATTTTCAGCAGTTTCATTATGATCGTGTGGGCCTGATTTTCTTTGGTTTCCCCTATTTGGCACTTACTAACTTCTTGATTCTGTAAATTTATGTCTTTCACCAAATTCAGGAAGTTCTCAGCCATTATGTCTTCAAATATTTTTTATGCACTAATCTCTTTTCTCCTTTTGGGACTTGAGTACTACAAATATTAGACCTTTTGATATTGCCCCACAAGTCCCTGAAGCTCTGTTCAGATTGGATCATTTCTATAGGTCTGTCTTCATTCTGCCAGTGATTTTCTTAATTTCAAATATAGTTTTTAGTTAGAAAATTTCCATTCAGTTAGGTTTTTTGTTTTAGATTTTATTTATTTGAGAGAGAGCGAGAATGAGGGGGTGGAGGGCCAGAGGGACAGGGAGAGAGAGAATCAAAGCAGATTCTGTGCTGAGCAGAGAGCCTGACACGGGGCTCAATCTCATGACCCTGAGATCATGACCTGAGCTGAAATCAAGAGTCGGATGTTTGACCGACTGAGCCACCCAGGTAGTCCCCATTCAGTTAGTTTTTTGTAGTGTCTGTTTCTTTGCCAACAACTTATGTCTTCATTCCAAGGGTGTTTCTTTTACCATGGAGAAAAGTTATAAAAGCTATTTTAAGGGCCTTGGTAATCCCAGCATTGGGGTTCTCTCAGGGTTAGCACCAGTTAATGGTCTTCCCCTGGGAACTGCTCACGGTTTTACTATTTGTGGTTTTTGTTTTTTATATTGGGTAATTTTGTATTGTATTCTGCACATTTGGGGAATTATGTTGTGAGACCCTGAGTTCTGTTAAAATCCTCTAAAGAATGTGGATTTTTTTTGTTTTTGTTTTAGCAGGCGGACTATTTAGCTTCAGAGTACAAGTTCCGTCCCACCTTTAGGTACAGATTCCAATGTCATTTCTGTTTTCAGAGCCTTTGCTGTATTGTACAGGTCTGTCCCCAAATATGCACCATTCAGAGGTTAGTCTGGGACTTGGGTAGTTGCTTCTATCATAGTTCAGTTCTCAAAGCCTTTGCTGTGCTGCTTTGGTTCTGTCCTACACACGTGCAGCTTGAGGCTGTGCCTAGGCTTTATGTCAGTTCTTATACAGACTTTGGGGATCTTCTTTCCAGATCTCGCCTATTCAGTATTTTCCCCCACATTCTCTGGCTCCCAGCGGCCTCTCTGCCTGGGCCTCTGGCTGGAAAGACAAGTTCTCCTGATTATAGCAGCCCGTGCCGTTCTGCATGACCGGGACCACCCTCAATAAAAGAGAAAAAAGAAATAGTAGGCATTCCCCTGACACTCTTCAGGCCAGTGCCTCTGACCAGAAAGAAGGGTTTTTCTCCTGCGGTTTTCAGCTCGGGGATGGGAGCTACTCTTGGAAACCAGGGCCAGGGGAAGAAAAAAGGGACGGTTCAAACAGGATTTTCCCCCCATTCTTGACCTCACAGAGGCCCCTTTTCTGGTCTGCTTGTTTTAAAGGCAGGGCTTTTCTCAGAGTTGTGTTGCCACACCCTGCGTGCAATTCTGCACCGGTCAGAGCGAGAGCATCAAAGGGGGAGGCAGGAAATGAACCCCCGCTCTGGGTCATACTTCACATTTGGCTCCCTGCCCCAACACACTGCCGTCCTTAACTTGACAGAGCCCCCCTTCAGAGTCCAGGGATGTTAGTTGGGCCAAATGGGGAGGGAGGCTGCAGTGGGTGTATGCCATCTTGGCCAAGGTCACGAGTTGTTCGCTCTTCCCCCTCCCCAGGACGTACCAGGAGGGAGACAGCTGTGGCACATTTGCATTTTAGAACAGTCTCTGGCCACTGTGGAGGTAGACCGGAGGCCGAGGTGGTCGTTGGGAGGCCGTTACAGGAAAGTGAGGACACCTGTGTAAGGGCAATATGAGCCGTGAGAAACAGATGGGTTTTTAAAAAGGGGGTGGGGGGAGCCAAGTGGACAGAACCTGGGGACAGATTAGACGTGGAGCATGGTAGAGAGAAGAGGGTCAAGGCTGCCTCTCGAGTTCCTGGCCTACATGGCTGTCCTAACTGAAACAGGGAGGTCCTTTAGGGAAGGAGGATGACGGGCTTAGTTGAATTTAAAGAAATTCAATATTGTTTCTTGTGTGTCAGAGATTCCTGATACCCAGAACCAAGAGACCATGCTGAGTAATAGATCAGCTTTCTGATCACAAGCCCTCCTGAGAGGAAATGAATGATAAAGAACCACTCTTGACAGAGAATGTGCCAGAGAACATTTGAAATGGCAGTTGAGTCCCCAGGATCTTTCTGTTTTGCTCAGGTCAGCCAGCAGGGGGTAGAGGTTTGATCCCATTTCTGTCACTGGGACAAAAATCACCCCTGACTTTTCTCTCTTGGATGAAATTCGGCTGAGAAAACAACCATGTGCTACTGCCTAGATCCTCTTCCATTTAAAACCAAAGAAACAACAGCAAAGCCTATGGCTGAAATACCTTTATCCTTCTCATTTTTACTAGCAGGAGCCTGAACTCCACTCTGCCCCCAAACGCCAGCCATGGGGCTAGGAGTCCCGAATTACTCTTACTTGAGATGAAGACGGTCCGCCGGCAGAGGCCAGCTGTGTTAGTAGGGCTGTGATTGGCCATGCTGTCAGCCTAAGTCCTTGAGCAGAAGGCAAAGTGGTGTCGCCATGCAGGGGAGAAGCTTAGTATTCCCCTGCAGAGGTCGCCCTCCAACGAGGGTGTGTGTTGTTCAGCCTGTTGACAGATCAATGATAGCACGAAAAGTAGTAATAACGCAAACATGTGTACAGTACTTTTCTATTTCCCGGAATGCTTGCACAAGCTTTATTGTATTTGAGCCTCATAACGTTCCTATAAACTATTTTAAGGTAGTGATCAAAAAGCCTGACCTGAGCCTCATAACATTCCTATAAACTATTTTAAGGTAGTGATCAAAAAAGCCAGGTCGTCTGGCTCTGGCAAGTTAACTAACCTCTGTCCACCTTACTTTCCTCATTAGTAAAACCAGGATAATAATAGTACCTAGCTCATCGGGTTGTTGTGAGTAGTAATCGAATAGAACACTTAAATAGTGCCTGGCACAGAGAAAAAGCTTAATATTTAAACATTATTAGCTTTAGGCATGTATTATTATCCCCTTGCTCTGAGTGAGAAAGCGGAGGCCCAAAAGGTCAGGTAGCTTGCCCAATGGTGAGTTTTCTGTCAGAGCCTCCGCTCCTGACTCCTGGAGCAGTGAAGAGGTGGGAAGGGGCCCAGCAGGGTTTCTGCAAACAGATGGTGAGGTGGGAGGGGAGGGTCTGTTAAACTATATTTAGAGAAAGAACCTTTATAAATAGCATCTCACACTGGGTGACCATGCTAACAGTTTACACCCATTGAGAAGTTAAGGGAATAAATGTCAGTGATCTTGCAAATTAAGTAACTCCCGAGAGACTAGTATGTTACTAAAACAAACCCCTCCAAAAAGACCTCTATTGTCTCTGCCACAGCAAATTCTGTAGATAGGAGTTGGTAGGGTTTTGTTTTTTGGTTTTTTTTTTTGAAGAGGTCTGCCTGGCAGAGAAATGGTTGTTTGGTACAGCTAACTTTCCCTTGTTGCCTTCAGTTACTCACATCCCTTTTAACTGCGTTTTTTGAAGCCAAATTTCCATAATTTAAAGGCTTAGAAAAATTTTTTAAAAAATCAAATGCCACCCAAATATGCACCACTTGGGCCAGGCGTGACTGATGTGACTGCTCAGTAACTTACGTATCCCAACCTGGCCATATGTGCTCATACATGACATTACAGCCCAGCAAAGAGCTTTCAGAAATCAGAACGCCACAGAGTGGGTACTGGTTCATCCCACAGGATCCTCCCCGCATCATTCCCAGACACTTTGATCTCATTCCATTCCTTCTTACACCATGAAGCCCCCGTGTACACATTAGCTCCTGTACAGAGAGGCTTGCGGCTCTGCCCAGCATCGGTGTCTTTGAGAACTAAAACAGGGTGTGGTGCCGAGGACAGACGGAGGATTAGACTGCTGAGCCTGGTCCCCGGCTGCAGTTCAGCTGTGTCACATTCTTGGCCTGGGGCTCGCCCACCGGGCCATGCTTGCTCGGTAGCTCCCCTTTCGGCGCTGCTGGCCTGCATCGGAGCCCGAGAGCGCTGGTGAGCTGAGTCCAGCAGAAACCTAGCCCAACACGTGAGGGCAGACTTCTCCTAACCGGTCACTGCTCATTCACAGATTCAAAATCAGCACGCTTGTCCCTTAAAATATCAGCTTCTAAGGCCACGATGAGGATTTTTTTTAACGATACCAATTCAATTATTAACAAAAGTGCTTTGAGTTCCAAAACCAATGACACAGTATTAGTTTCCAAAGAAGCCACAGTTCTAGGAATGAAAAAAACACGAGGCCATTACCCTCTTTCCTTTCTTCTATTTAGTTTCTTTAAAAGACTTTTCTAGAAACTGCTCAAGACATGAGGTTGAAATGGATCCCACAACATTTGAATACTCAGAGGCCTTTTCGTGAGGCTAGAGTGTAGCAGTGTTGCTGAGTAGTCACCTGCTTCTTTGGATTTGGTGCAACTGGTTTTCTCTGGGAAGGTGCCATCCGGAGACACTGAGAGTGGTGAGCCCAGGAAACGCAGCCTGTAAGTCCTGGGCTGACTTCATGCAGAGGTCAGCCTCTGTCTATCTGAAAAGCAGCAGTAAAGACGTTTGACTTCTCTTAACCCTGTCCAACAGGAATGTGGGAAGATGTAATAGCAGGCAGTGTTTATTTTTCCTACTGCTTTCTATCCGAGTCTCCTTGCTCTTCTTTTCATAGAACGGATCATCAGACCCTGCTGGGTGTTTTGCTGAAGCTCCTTATTAGCTGGTTGTGTAGCAGGCAAATATGAGAGCTGCCAGCCAGAATTGGTGGGGGTTTTTTTGGAAAATGAAACAATATCCTCTCCCGCCTGCATTTTTCTGGGTTCAGACTCCTCTGTTGGGGAGTAATATAGACTGTACAGCTTTTTGCACTACTAAAATTATCCTTGATTGACTTTGTCTTAACTAAACAGCTTGAGGAAAGCCAAAGATGATAAGCCATGATGGGACAGTGCAGCAGATGGGAATATTTTAGTCACCCGTTAGCCTTTGGGATTAGGCAAGTCGAGAAGACAAGCTGTCACCATGAAAGCCAGAATTTGGTCATTTCAAGGACATTATGAACCTTACTTAGACTGGAAGACTGAAGTACCTCTGATGGCCTAGCTTCAAGATGCGCACATCATGAAGAAATAAATATTTCCCCATATCATTGTGATTATTGAATTTTCTGGTGATGAAGAAATTGTACAGAAAGTCCTCAGGACCCTTCAGTTCTGTGAGCCAAAATTTTTTCTATTTTTCCGCTTTCTTTTCCTTCCTCTAAAAATGAAGATTTGGTTTAACATCAAAAAATTGTGATCATTTTTTACCAAGTTTCCAATGGAAGTCATGTGGTTTGGTTTTATATATATGCATAAAAATTTTTCTTTGAGCTGGAACAATTTTAGTGGTTAAAGAAATAGGTTTTGGGTGCCTGGGTGGCTCAGTTGGTTAAGCGACTGCCTTCGGCTCAGGTCATGATCCTGGAGTCCCTGGATCGAGTCCCGCATCGGGCTCCCTGCTCGGCAGGGAGTCTGCTTCTCCCTCTGACCCTCCCCCCTCTCATGTGCTCTCTCATTCTCTCTGTCAAATAAATAAATAAAATAAAATCTTTAAAAAAAAAAAAAGAAATAGGTTTTAACCAAAAAAAGATTATGTCCTTTCTCCATCTGGCTACCTTAGGCTAAGAGAAAAAACGAAAGACTAATTTAAAAATCACCAAGTTTAATTTCTCTTATAGCAAAGTAGTAGACATTTAATATAAATGTAGTCAAACTTGAAACCACTAAGACCCGTACTTCATTCCTTCAATTAAATATATTGGATATTTGTGTTAACTGTTTATATGTATAGAAATTGGCAATAAAGATGGCAAATTATGTAGCTCAGGCAACTGGAGCCCGTGGAGTGCAGTGGAAAGATCATGGGGCTGACTTCTGATAAAGGTCTCAGTGAATATTCACAAGGGTAAATCGTACAAGGTAGTTGCTAAAATCAGGCTGACTTGAGTTCAGGGCAGCCCCACTTAATGGTACGTGCATCTTGGCCCATCACCTCACCTAAGTCTGTTTCTTCACCTTGTGTATGTGGATAAAATAGTATCTACTGCATGACTGTTGGGATGACTAAATGAGATAATCCACCTAGAGTTCTGGCACATAGTAACTGCTCTAGTTAGTGGTAACTAGCATTAAGATTCAACTCCGCTCTCTGAGCTTGGGCAAGTCCCTTAATTCCTTCAACTCTTGGCTTCTCTATTTGTAAAACAAGAAATATTTACCCTACTTGCCTATATTACTGTAGTGAGGATCAAAAGAGAGCATGTCTTGAAAAGCCTTTCAAAAGTGAGTTAATAAGCCAATTGGGAAGGCAGAGGTGTATGTAGTATGACAACTGGGAAACATTACGAGGGGACATCTAGTCAAGCGTTGGCCTGTGAGGACTGCATAGACTCTGAGAAAGGCAGTTGTAGACAGTCAGGGAAAGGAAAGAATATTGTGGCCTAATGTTGGGGGGCAGTCCAGAGTAGGGGACCTTCAGCTGAGCCCTGAAAAGACAGGATGTGGCTGGGAGAAGTCAATCCTCCTTCCACTGACAACTCCACTGGCTAACCTTCGCTGTGTGTCTCCTCTGCGATTACAGGCCGAGCTCATTGGAAGCCTCACCCACAAGCTTGAGACCCTCCAGGAAGCGAAAGGGAGTCTGCTGATGGACATCAAGCTCAACAATGCCTTGGGGGAAGAGGTGGAGGCTTTGATCAGCGAGCTCTGCAAGCCCAATGAGTTTGACAAGTACAGGATGTTCATCGGGGACTTGGACAAGGTGGTAAACCTGCTGCTCTCCCTCTCAGGGCGCCTGGCCCGTGTGGAGAACGTCCTGAGCGGCCTCAGCGAGGATGCCAGTAACGAAGAAAGGGTAGGTGGCCTAGCGATTTAGTTCAGCAATTTTTCCCTCTGAAGCCACGTACACAGAGGGGTGCAATTAAACACAATCCCTTCTCTGGAGAAGATTACGATCTCTTTGGGGCAGAGAGTCCAATGTATAGGTTACCAGGAAACACAGAAGAAGGCATCTTGCAGGCGAAGAGGTAATGCTGACACTTCAGGCTCAGGGAATACTTAGGGAAGTAAAAACACAGGTGCGAGAATGTCTTTCCTTCCTTTCTGTCCCAGGAAAAAGAAGAGACAACAGCACGGTGGGGGTTGACATTAGAAAAAGAGAGAGGGACGGGGCGCCTGGGTGGCTCAGATGGTTAAGCGTCTGCCTTCGGCTCAGGTCATTATCCCAGGGTCCTGGGATCGAGCCCCGCATCGGGCTCCCTGTTCCGCAGGAAGCCTGCTTCTCCCTCCTCCACTCCCCCTGCTTGTGTTCCCTCTCTCGCTGTGTCTCTGTCATATGAAAAAAAACAAAAAAAAACCCCAAAAAACTACAAAACAAAACAAAAAAGAAAGAGAGGGACAAAGAAACTGTTGGGACTGAGGAGAGGGCGCAGGAACAGGGGCTCAAGCTCCAGGGACTCTCCCAGGTCAGTGCGTGGCTGCAGGCCCTCCGTGAGGATGCACCCTCGTGTCCCCACTGCGCCCTCTGCTGGAAGGAAGAGGACAGGTAGCAACAGTGGTGCCCACACTGGATAACATTCAAGTCCTTCGTCTTTGCCTGGCACGGTGGGCTTACACACTTTATCTGCGGGCTCACTGAATCCTCACAACAGGCCAGTACGTGATGGAGCCAGGATAGAAGGGGTCCTGCTGCAGACCCCACGTTTTATTCACTAGGTTGAACTTAATTCTGTAGTTACGGAGCATTCTTCACCTGCTCATCTTTACCGCAAACACTGGCTGTCTGATGTATGCCACCAGGCTCATGGGATACAGCCGTGAGCAAAGCAGCCAGATCCCTGCCCGCAGGGAGCTTATCGAGAGAAGTCAGACAATCAACGCATCTGTAACTATTGTACTTTCATATTATGCTAGAAGGTGATAAGCACCCCAGCCATCAAGAGGCTTCTTTGCTTTCTGGCTCCTTCTCCTATCTACAGCTCTCTTTCAGTGCCATGAGGGATTTCCCAATTATTTCTCCTATACATTACATCAAAGGGGAAGATTCTTTTTTCCAAATAGAAAAAGTCTAGATCGTATTAAGAAACTGACAGCATACAAGAACTTTCTGCAGCGGCAACCCCCTTCCTGCATGTACGCTCCTCATGAGGCTGTGCTGAGCCTTAGCTTCCTCATCTGGAAATGTAGTGCCTGCCTGTCAAATACCCAGTGCTGTGCATGCTAGTGATGAACACCGACTAAAACGCAGGCCCCGCGCTCAAGGAACTCAGTGCAGAATGAGGAAAACCAGCATGGAAGCAGCGAGTGCATCCAATATGCCGCAACACGGCGACAAATTCAGCCCATGAGACACTTCTCAGGTGTTGGTGGGAGCCCAGGAAAGACTTGGCATACGTGACACTTGAACAGGGTATAGGAGAATTTCTTAATTCTACACAGACTAAGGGGAGGGCTTCACCATTTAGAGGGAATGTCATGGACAAAGTCAAGAAAGACCATGGCATGTTCTAGAACCATACACATATGATTGGTGTGTCTAAAACAGAGTGATTGCTTGGTTTTAAAAATCTCAAGTTACAGGAAATAATAGAAAAGTGTATAGTCAGGGAACTCACAGGAAGTAGAGAGTTCAATCAACCGGGGTAAGCAGAGAAAGTTCAGTGAAGGTGTGGGGAGGAGTAAGGAGGACCAAGAAGAGATAATGAAGCTCCCTATTCTCCCAGGGTTAGCATCACTTGGAGGAGGGAGTCCTTATTAGAACTCTGTGTCTGTCCTACAGCACTGAGGCCTTGGTGAGCTAATGTAGCTCCCACTACCTGGCAAGGAAGGAGCCAGAGATAGGGGCCCCAGGTTCTTCCTCCCTCCCTCCCTCCCGTCTCCTGCCCATGACTCCCGTTGGCCAAGCCCAGAGGGAAGGGAGCCCAGCTGGTGCAGCTTGCACCGTTCAGCTTCCTTAGACACAGAGCAGGGCTGAGAAGTGGATCTGGAGGGCCCAGCAGTATCCAGCACAGAAAACAGTCACAAAGACCTTGTGGGTTATACCTTATAGATAGGACTTCAGCCAGTAGGCCAGGAAGAGCCATAAACTAATTTTATAACCTAATCTGCCCGGGGAGGAGTGTGACTTATGCTAAGAGTCTAGCCAGAAGGAGTTAGGCTGTTCGTTTAGGCTGTTGTCATAGGGATAGAGACTAGGGAGTGAGAGAATGAGTTTGAATTAGTAAGGCGTGCTAGATGAGGGGAAGAGGAAAGCAGAAACTAAATTTTCGTTTCCTGTTTGGCCACTGGGATGGATGCCACAGGTATGTGAGAGAAGGAACACTGGTACAGTTAGTTAGGGGAAGAGGAGCTGTTCCAGAACTAAATTCAGCTCAACATTTAAACGTAACACACACACTCTTGAATACAAATATGTGCATGCTCCCATGCAAAATACATCCATAGTTTTTATAATGATTAATCTTAAACTGAAAGTATAAGTAGAAATGAGGGAAGGAAGAATAAGTGGCTCAACAAATGCCAATTGTAGGATAAAGGTCATGGGGGGTTGGGGGGATGGGAGAGTGTGTATCAGGCTTCAACTGAATCTCTAATTTTTGTTTTTAATCTGAAGAAAATATGATAAATGCTCCTGTTAAGAATTGGCACAGTTAAGGATGGGTACACAGGTCTTCTACTATTCTCTATACATTTCTAATGTGTAAAATATTTCATAATTTTTTTAAAGGTGAGGAAGAGGTTTTCACCTTTTAACTTCTCTACAGTATTTTGAAAGGTGTCTTCATTCAGATTAAGTCCCTAAGGGTTTTTTGGGGTTTAGTTTTATTCAAATTCCAGTTAGTTAACATACAGTGTTCTATTAGTTTCAGGTGTACAATATAGTGATTCAGCACTTCCATACATCACCCGGTGCTCATCACAAGTGCACTCCTTAATCCCATCACCTATTTGACCCATCCCCACCTACCTCCCCTCTGGTGACCATCAGTTTGTTCTCTGCAGTTAAGAGTCTGTTTCTTGGTTTGCCTCTTTTTTTCTCCCTTTGCTTGTTTTTTGTTTCTTAAATTCCACATATGAGTGAAATCACATGGTATTTGTCTTTCTCTGACTTATTTCACTTAGCATAATACTCTCTAGCTCCATCCATGTCATTGCAAATGGCAAGATTTAATTCTTTTTTATGGCTAATATTCCATGGTGTGTGTGTGTGTGTATAGATGAACGACGGATAAAGAAGATGCGGTGTGTGTATACTGATGGACACTTGGGCTGCTTCCGTAATTTGGCTATTGTAGATAATGCTGCTATAAACGTTGGGGAGCATCTATCCCTAAGGGGTTTTTGTTCTTGAGAGAGAGAAAGTGCATGCAAGGGGGTAAGGGGAGACTTCAGCTGGTGGCAGGCAGAGGGAGAGGGAGAGAAAGAGAATCTTAAGCGGGTTCCACACACCAGCGTGGAGCCATACACACAGGGCTCAATCTCACAACTCTCAGGTCATGACATGAGCCTGAGCTGAAACCAAGCATTGGACACTTAATGGACTGAGCCACCCAGGCACCCCTAAGGGTTTTCTTTTTCCTTTTTTTTAAGATTTTATTCTTAAGCAATCTCTACACCCAACATGGGGCTCTAACAACTCTGAAATCAAGAGTTGCATGCTGCACTGATTGAGCCAGCCAGGTGCCCCATCTGGTGTGTTTTTCTGATTAGGGGAAGGAAGCCATGAAAATGGAGATATTTGTAAGATAAACCTATAGCTTTGTAGCTTTTCCCCTGGGCATTATTATGTAAGATCTGACAGGCTAGTTCAAGGGAAGTTAAGGTAAAAACACATGGTCTGTGAACTTTTCATAAGCCTACATATGAAATAAGATTAAAGATATACCTCTTGATTTTCATTTTAATGTTTCTCAATCACTTTGGCCTTAAAAGTCTAAATGATTAAATATAAAATGAAAAAAAATTTTAATGACATTCATTGTAAGTCAACATGTTGCATAAAAAGCCATGTTAAAGATTATTATAAAGTAAATTAGCCCTAAAGATAACATGCTACCTTACCATTGGGTTTGTATAAGAAATGCTCAGAATATGGGGCGCCTGGGTGGCTCAGTCGGTTAAGCGTCTGCTTTCGGCTCAGGTCATGATCCTGGGGTCCTGGGATTGAGCCCCATGTCCGGCTCCCTGCTCAGCGGAGAGCCTGCTTCTCCCTCTCCCTGCCACTCTGCCTACTTGTGCTCTCTCTCTATCCCTCTGTCAAATAAATAAATAAAATCTTTGGGAAAAAAAAAAAAGAAATGCTCAGAATATGAAATTGCCATTATTGTTAAATAGAATTTCTCTCATGTTAGATTCAGAGGCCTGAAAACTAGAAACATTTCTTTAGACATGGGAAATACGACATTCCCATTGTTATTTGTGGATCAGGGCAGAGGTTCTCAAACTTCAACTGCAGAAGAATCACCTGGAAAGCTTCAACCACAGCTTCTGGGCCCTAAGCTTTATATTCAGTAGGTGGAACAGGCCCTAAAAATTTGCATTTCTATGGTCCCAGGGTCCTGGGATCGAGCCTGCTTCTCTCTCTCCCTCTGCTTCTCTCTCTCCCTCTGCTTCTTCCCCAGCTTGTGCATGCTCTCTCTCACTCTTTCTCAAATAAATAAAATAAAATAAAATAAAATAAAATAAAATAATTTGCATTTCTAACAAATTCCCAGGAGATGTTGCTGCCGGTGGTCCACACTTTGAGAAACGCTATAAATGTAAATACTTGTAAATGCTCAAGGTAACTTAAAGATTGGTCTTTTTTTACCCCCTTCAGTTTTTTATCATGGTAAACTACACATAACCTAAAATTTGCCTTCTTAGCCATTTTAAAGTGTTCAGTTCAGTAGTGTTAAGTATATTCACATTGTTGTGCAACTGAGCTCTAAGAACTTTTTCTTCTTGCAGAACTAAAACTTTATATCCATTAAACAGCTCCATTCACCCCTTCCCTGCAGCTGTCAACCACCATTCTACTTTGTATCTCCATGCTTTTGACTACTCGTATAGGTACATGTAACCCCTAAGTACTTCATGTAAGTAGAGTCACTGATTGTCCTTTTAAATCTAGAAGCCTCAAGTCAAGCTTTTACCCCAGCCAATTTATGTCATCTCTCTTAAAGCTGCCATGTGACTTACAAGTTAGAGATCTATATACATGCAACAGAAGGGTAATAAACTGATTTTCAAAAAGAGTCTGTCTCCTTACTCTAGAGTGACAACTGAAATAGAAACTTGGACTTTTCACAGCCTGGAAAAGGTGTCTCTGCAGACAGTTCCTTCCTCTGCCTTGCCCTCTGCTGATCTGTTTGTTTCGCCTTGGCAGAGCTCTCTCAATGAGAAGAGGAAGGTCCTGGCTGGGCAGCACGAGGACGCCCGAGAGCTCAAGGAGAACCTGGATCGAAGGGAACGTGTGGTGTTGGACATCCTGGCCAACTACCTCTCAGAGGAGCAACTCCAGGATTACCAGCATTTTGTGAAAATGAAGTCAACACTCCTCATTGAGCAGCGAAAGCTGGACGACAAGATCAAGCTAGGCCAGGAACAAGTCAAATGTCTGCTGGAGAGTCTCCCCTCAGATTTCATTCCCAAGGCAGGGGCCCTGGCTCTGCCCCCAGACCTGGAGAGTGAGATGGCTCCTGCTGGGGGGTGTACTGTAAGTGGTGTTTTCCCGACATTAACCTCTCCACTTTAACCTCTTCTAAAAGACCCAACCAAAAGATCACCCTTTCTCTCAACACTATTTAATCTGAAAACTGTTTCAGTGCAAACCACCATTTAAACTCTATGGGTCATTGGGGTTTTTCTGGATAAAAGGAAAAAATTCTATCCAGGAAAAAGCCTGCTTTTTTGTTTTTTGTTTTTTTTCCTTCTCGCCCTACGTGATTGATCTGAGAGCTTGAATGCTGCTGGGAACTTAGCCCTTTCTATTCTCACTTTCTAGTAGAAGGAAAATTAATGAAACTGTGAGAACTGTTTGGAGGGCGTTTGATTGGTTAGTTTTTAGCAGGCTGAGGCAACATAGATGAGTGTGTGTCACCCTCAGGAATGTATCCACAGCGGCCTTCCTTGCTTGTGGGCAGTGTGTCCTGACGACAGATATAAGAACTCACTAATGAAGGGTCTGCAACATAAAGCCTTAAAAAGAAACATACACAGAAGAAAACTGTAAAACCTTGAACATTGTTGTTATTTATATTTTTTAAAATGAAAAAATCATTATGTTTGTGTGCTAACCACTTATTTGATTCTGTTTTGTGGTGGACGTAGACAATTGCGTTTGAGCTTTGTATTTTGTGCAAACCTTAATGAAATGAAGAATTCCAAAGATAGTCACATTGAGCGTGGAGACTTTTGGTTTTTTCTTCAACCCTTGGCTTGTTGCTCTTATTTGTACAAATATGAGCAGACCTTCTACACTTGTGTTAAAATTGGGGAATCCCAGTTTCCCCGGCTGCCAGTTGTCACCACTTTACTTCTGTAGTGTTCCTCTTGGAACACTACACCTTGCCCAGGAAGAAGGATTTGTGCAACATGGCTATCACATCATTTCCTAGTGCTTCTTGGCATTCCCACCCTGGTGGGGAGATAGAGCTCAATTTTACTAACAAGGACAACAGCTCTCCAATCTGTATACAAGGACAGTCAGAAACCAATTCAAAACTGAATTCATGCTGTCCTTCTGCATGGGATTTGGGCTAAATGTAACCTGTTTTAAGAGATATACTGTGAGGCTGTTTTAATGATTTTTTTTTTAAGATTTTATTTATTTGAGAGAGAAAGCATGAGAAGGGGAGCAGAATCCCTGGTGAGTGGGGAGACTGATGCAGGACTCGATCCTGGGACTCCAGGATTATGACCTGAGCCGAAGGCAGTCACTTAACCGACTGAGCCACCCTAGGCGCCCCCCACCTTTTTTTTTTCTTTAAAGATTTTATGTTTTAATGATGCTTTTAAAAGTTTTCCTAAATTGTTAAGCCTATCAACCACCATTAAAAACAGCCTTCTTAATATCTGAAGACTGATTTTGCACTATCAATCTGAAGTTTGCACAGTGCATCTGAAGACTAGGATTTTGCTTCACAATAATGACTTTCTGGAGGGTACTCTTGAGCCCAAGTTGTAAGTCTATTCAAACAGACTGGGAGGTGGAAGGAGGCTAGGGCCAGTGGCCAGGATAGCAACAACCTCATACTTTACAGCAGGTGGGCTTTGGTTTAGTTTGTTGTTTTCATGTGCTCAACCCATGGCTAGTGGCCACCTCTGCTAATTTGGACTGCAAGTACTATAGAGAACTGAAGAGTAAAACTTGTATGAGAGACCAAATGCCCTTTCCTCCCCTAGTACATTTTAATTACTTGATGAACTGTATCTTCTGGTTAAGAACTTCAAAACTATAGTTTTGTTCCCCGATACAGATGTCTTTTGATGAGCTTAGAACCAAAGGCCACCCAGACGTTTCTTGTGCGCAATCAACCAAAGCTGTTGCTTCCCTTTTTGGAGGTTAGACGCTGACTCCCATTGGTACAGTGAGACAGCGCCTCTGTCTCCCAGGAATGTTGTCAGAAGCTGCTCTCTCACATCCAAAGGTCCCATTTCCCAGGGACTCGGTGGAACCTGTGGCGGCGTTCAGCAGCCACACCACATGGTCATTTTGAGGTAGAGAAAAACAGAGCATCTGACATTTCCTCAGGCTTAGGCCAACACGGGAGCCCCAGATCACCTCCAGTTGGTAAATAACTGTGTCTTGCTGACACTGAGTGACTCTTTCCATCAGATCAGGTGGGAGCCAGCCAATAAATGTCTTCAGCTGCTCCCAGTGAAATTCCTCAGGGGGATTCTGGGGCCGCCCACATTCCCAACACTCTCCAAAATGATTCTGCTGAAGGATTTGACTGGGCACACTTTGTAAGTCTTTTTCAATCACTTTTCTAATTTATACATGTCAAGCATAGGGCATGCCTAGGACATCATCCCTTCCTTTGCTACACTGAGATGTTCTGTCGTTAAGTGAAATGAGGGAGGTATCAGGTGCAACTATGAAAACTAATTCTTAGGGGATGTGATACTTCCTATAGCAGGACTTGACCTTTGCTTGACGAAAAGAAAACCACTAACTTAATTTTCATTATTAATTTTTAAATGCCTTTAGCTCAACAGTAAGTCTGTTCTCTATCCCTTTCCTATTTTTGCATTCTCTTTCCACTATCATCTTGAGGCGCCTGGGTGGCGCAGTCGGTTAAGTGTCTGCCTTCGGCTCAGGTCATGATCCGGGGTCTTGGGATCGAGTCCCACATTGGGCTCCCTGCTCAGTGGGGAGTCTGCTTCTCCCTCTCTCTCTCTGCCACTAACCCCTGCTTGTGCTCTCTCTCTCGCTTAAATAAAATCTTCAAGAACAAAAAGCAGTCATCTACAGAAGCCATCCTTTTTCCTCCCAACAATACCTTAGGCCAAGATCATAAGCAAATGAACCCTGAGCATGTTGTTGGTCAAGACTTCAAGGATGTATGTTCACAGTCAATAACTGTCCCTGTGGATGCAATCATTCCTGAAATACCAGGTCCCATCAGAAGTGGTGGGTGTGGGATGGCCTTGCAATAGTCCAAATGCTGATACTCAAGGAACCTGTGAAGTTCTAAGAAGGGACAAGGTCCTGCAACAAAATTGGGAGTCCTCCAACTTCTGGGCAGAAGTTCTGGGCATGTTGCTACACGCTGGTTGACTCAGGGCTTTCTCCTGCTGTTTTGTTTCTTGTGGTGGCTGCTTAACCCCAAAGAATGCCTGAAGGTTCCATAGTGAAAGTGTCTGAGGTTTTCCAAGAGACACTGGTGAAACCAAACATTTTTTCCTCTGCTCCAGGGGAACATTTTAGGTTTTGTTTTGCACAATTGGTTTCCAAAACTGAAGATTAGCAAGCATGGATCAACCCCTAAGAATCACAAGCTATTAAAGTGAGGAGTGAGGGCCTTCGAGACATACAAAAGAGAAATCAGGAGAAACCAGCCTGGTATACCCCAGTTTTCCTATTATTCCATTGTTAGTACCTGATCTACAATCACTTCTGAGTGTAAAAGTTAAGATCACAGTTGTTTCTAATATGAGTGCTACCTTAAGCTTATATTTTAAGTATCTTTTACCAAGATGTTGGGGTTTTTTCCTGGCTTTTTATTCTTATATGGTTCCAAATTTACTTGTCTTTAATTTTCCACATTATTCATTTTAGTCTATTAGGTTGGAATTATTTTTTTTTTCCTTTAGAAGAGCATGAGTCTTAGTCACCTCATTACTGGCAAGAAAAAGGAAGAACTTCAGCCTGAAAGAACTCCCTCCCCAGCAAAGTGTAAAATGATCAGACAAATGTGAAGGGGCCGTTCCACACAGAAACAGTATACTGGGGCAAGGTATTCCTTGTTGCCTTAACTCTGGGATGAAGCATGAGATGAAATGATAAAGACCATTTTAAAATCAGAAAGGACACATGAACAGTTTTCTTATTCTTATTTCTAAATAAAGTTTCACTTTTCTTATGGAAGCTCATTCAGACACTAAATCATGGTTTCTCAAAAATACTTTGCATCAGAATCACAGGAGTGCTTGTTAAAAATGCCCATTGCTGGGGCGCCTGGGTGGGTCAGTCAGTTAAGCATGCAACTCGTGATTTCAGCTCAGATAATGATCTCATGGGTCATGAGATCCAGCCCCACATTGGGCTCCATCCTCAACCAGCAGTCTGCTTGGGATTCTCTCCCTCTGCCCTTCCCCCCCACTCATGTGTTCTCTCTCAAATAAATAAATCTTTTAAAAAATCCCTATTGCTGAGACACCACCATGGAGGCTGCAAATCTGCACCTATATAAGTTCCTTGGGTTGTCCTGATACACTTCACCATTTGAGATGAACTGATACCAACCATTTGTACAGTTTTTATCATCATCACAGAAAGACTAACATGAATTTATGTAATAACAATCCGAGAATTCAAAGCCCTGTCATGTTTACTCAACTACATCATTATGAGTTAATATTGTCCCCACTATTTTTGTATCATTCCCCACAGTTACGATATGGGTTTTTTTTCCCTGCTCACTTTTTCTTAGATTGGCTTTAAATCTGAACAAGCTAAGCATGTATTCAGGCTCAATTGCACTATTTTTCCTCAAAAGGAATCAACCTATCACACAATGTCAGTAATTTGAAGTCCTGCCATGATATCTGCATTAACCTGAAATCACAGCTGACCTTTACAGTGGGGCCTTTCTTCAGATTTCTGTTGCCCCTTCCCAAGTCTCAGGCTACTAGGAGAGGTAGAATTTCTCTTGGTGCGGATTTGATAGTCTAGCTTATGACACAAAAATGTCAAATTTCAAAACCCTAAAGTCAAAACTATGTAAGAAAAAAAGTTGCAAATGAAGAAATCGGTTCACTTATTCCTACATCATTCTATAAATTCCTCTCTGATATTCTGTCATTTGGAAAAGCAGCTCTATTTCTTGCTAAAACATCAGTATTGCCACTCCTTGACAAAGCAGGTTGAACAGGGTAAGTTTAATATAAAGAATTATTAAACTCCAGTGAATGCCTATAGGCTATAAAGAAAGTTGATTACCCTGAGCTAAGGGAGAATACACAAGGAAAGATAAACTTGGAAAGGGTCTCCCTTCCCAAGACTGAGGTTCAGACCTCCTCGGAGAACTTAACCCACCCACAGCACAAGAGTTTGTTGGTTTACCCAGACCAGAGCTGGTCTGTGATCCCTGAGCAAGTAGGAAGCAACCCTCCAGAGTGCAAGCTGGGTGCGGCCAGTCAGCAACCAATGGCAAGACGTGGGGGCCCTGCAGAGGGGGTGGCCACTCAGTGGAAACCCTCTAAGTTGCAGATGATCTGCATGGGGGAGCAGGTGTTGGCAGAATGCCTTTGGGGCACTGAAGCAAGAATGAATTCTTCAGGGTGTAGGTTTCTAGTCCACAGGGCTGGGAGATGCTAATCACCTGCTAAGGCTATAAGATCATCAAGACAAACCATGGTTGGGGCAGAACTCCATCAGATGCCCCATACCCACACCACTCATACACCAGTCAGTAGCCCGAGAGCAAGATAGTCCTTTTCTCCCTTCCTGCCCCACCAGCATCATCTAGGTGATGATTGAGATCCTCCTCTTTGGGACACTGACAGGTCTTAGCATGCCCTCAACTACTAGGGGACACAAAGAATGAAGAAAGCTGACTGGAAAACTACATAGGTTTGAAAGACAACCAAGAGCTAGGGTAGGGTAGGGTTGAATGATGAGTTTCATCTCCTTTGCAATGCCACTCTTTGAAGACTGGGAGCAGTGGCTGTTTTATCTAATGCACAGAAACCCACACAGAAAGTTAAAGAAATGAAGAAACAGAGGAATATGTTCCAAATGAAAGAATAAGATAAAAGCCCCTTTTATCTTATAAGAAAAGATAAGAAAAAGACCTTAATGAGATGGGGATAAGTGACTTACCTGATAAAGAGTTCAAAATAAAGATGCTCACTGAGGTCAGGAGAACAATGCATGCACAAAGTGAGAATTTCAAAAAAGAGACAGAAAAATATAAGAAAACGCCAAACAAAAATCAGAGCTGAGAATACAATAACTGAAGTGAAAATTCAATAGAGGGGTTCAACAGAAGACTAGATGAAGTGGAAGCAAAGGTCAGCGAACTTGAAGACATGGTAGTGGAATTTATCCAAAGGAGCAAAAGGGGAAAAAAAAAAAAAATGAAAAGGAGTGAAGATAATTTAAGGGGCTTATGGGACAACATCAAGTGGACTAATATTCCTATTAGAGAGGTCCCAGAAGAAGAAGAGGGAGAAAGGGGCAGAAGCATTTTTGAAAAGATAATGACTGAAAACTTTCCTAAATGGAGAAGAAAACAGACATCCAGATCCAGGAATATGAGACTTCCAAGTAAGAGGAATCCCAAGAGACCACACCGAGACATGTTATAATTAAATTGTCAAAAGTTAAGCACAGGAAAGAATCTTAAGAGCAGCAAGAGAAAAATGACTTGTTATGTTCAAGGGAACCCCCAGAAGACGGTCAGCAGATTTTTCAGCAGAAACTTTGCAGGCCAGAAAAGACTGACCTGATATACTCAACATGCTGAAAGAAGAAGGAAAAAAACCTTGCCAACCAACAATACTTTACCCAGCAAAGCTGTCCTTCAGAACTGAAGGAGAGAGTTTTCCAGACAAGAAAATCTAAAAGAGTTTAATAGGCCAACCTTACAAGAAATGTAAAAGGGATTTCTTTAACCTGAAATGAAAGGGCACTAGTTAGTAATAGGGCAACATATAAAAATGTAAATCTCACTGGACACAGTAAGAATATAGTCAAATTCAGAGCAATACAATGTGGTGATGGAGGTGAGTGAATCACAGAAATCTGGTATGAAGGTTAAAATACATAAGTAATAAAAGTAACTATAACTACAATAACTTGTTAATTGATACACAAGATAAAAAGAAGAAAATGTGATATCAAAAGCATAAAATGTGTGGGGGAGAATAAAATGTAGAGTTTTAGAATGCATTTGAACTTAAGCTGTTATCAGCTTAAAATAGACTATTATAACTCTAAGATGTTTTATATAAGCTTCATGGTAACCACAAAAGAAAAATTTAGAGTAGACACACAAAAGATGAAGAGAAAGGAATCTAAGCATACCACTAAATAAAATCATCAAATCACAAAGGAAGAGAGCAAGAAAAGAATAAAGGAATGGAACTACAAAAAAGTCATAAAATAATTAACAATATGGCAATAAGTCCATACCTGTCAATAATCACTAAGTGTAAATGGACTAAATTCTCCAATCAAAAGACATAGAGTAGATGAATGGATTAAAAAAACAAGACCCAAGTATATGCTACCTACTAGAGACTCACTTCAGCTTTAAAGATGCACACAGACTGAAAGTGAAGAAATGGAAAACATGATCTATACAAATGGAGATCAAAAAGAAAGCTGGGAATAACCATACTTATATCAGACAAAACAGACTGTAAGAGAAAGATGATAATAAAGAGACAAAGAAGGTCATTATATAATGATAAAGGGGTCAATCCAACAAAAAGATGTAACATTTATAAATATTTATGCACCCCACATAGGAACACCTAAATACATAAAGCAAATATTAACAGACCTGAAAGGATAAATAGCAGTACAATAATAATAAGAGACTTCAATACCCTACTTTCCTCAGTGGACAAATCATCCAGACAGAAAAATCAATAAAGAACATAGGCTTTAAATGACACATTAGACCAGATGGACTTAACAGACATATACAGAACATCCCATTCAAAAACAACAGAATACACATTCTTCTCATGAGCACACAGAATATTCTCCAGGACAGATCGTATGTTAGACCACAAAACAGGTCTTAATAAATTTAAGAATACTTAAATCATATCAGGCATCATTTCTAACCACAATGGTCTGAAACTAGAAATCAATTACAAGAAGAAAACAGGAAAATTCAAAACACATGGAGATTAAACAAAATGCTACCAAGCAACCAATGCGTCAAAGAAGAAATCAAAAGAGAAATTTAAAATATCTTGAGACAAATGAAAATGGAACTACAAAATACCAAAACTTAAAGGATGCAGCAAAAGTAGTGCTAAGAGAGAAGTTCATACTGAAAACACCTATATTAAGAAACAAGAAAGAGCTCAAACAACCTAACTTTACACTTCAAGAAACTTGGGGGGGAAAAAAAAAAGAACTAAGCCCAAAGTTAGTAAAATGAAGAAAAGAGCAAGTTCCATCAGAATGGAAATAAGTTAATCAGCAACTAAAAAGACAATAGAAAATAAGTGAAACTAAGAGTGGATTGTTTAAAAAGAAATGTTTAGCTAGACTCACCAAGAAAAAAAAAGAGAAGAGTCAAAGAAATAAAATTAGAAAAGAAAGAGGATTCATTACAAGTGATATCACAGAAATACAAAGGATAAGAAACTGCAATAAACAATTATATCCCAACAAATTGGACAACCTAGAAGGAATGGATACCTTCATAGAAACACACAACCTATAAGACTGAATCATGAAGAAATAGAAAATCTGAACAGACCAACTACTAGGAAGTATATTAAGAGGTATTTGATTACTAATTCAATAAACAAAAGGCCAGGACCAGATGGCTTCATGAGTGAATCTACCAAACATTTAAGGAATACCAGTTCTTCTCAAACTCTTCCAAAAAATAGAAGAGAATACTTCCAAACTCATTATATGAGGCCAGCATTACCCTGATACCAAAACCAGACACTACAGGGAAAGAAAATTATAGGTTAATATCCCTGATGAACACAGCAAAGATCCTTGACAAAACAGAGCAAACCAAATTCAACAATACATTAAATGGATCATATACTATGATCAAATGGGATTTCTTCCAGGGATACAAGGATGGTTCAACATCCACAAATCAATCAACTTCATACACATTAACAGAATGAAGGATAAAAATCATATAATCCTCTCAATATATGCAGAAAAACAAAATTTGACAAAATTCAAGATCCATCTATTTAAGATTTATTTTTAGAGAGAGAAAGAGCAAGTGAACACAGTGATGGGGAAGGGCAGAGGGAGAAGGAGAGAGAGAGTCTTAAGCAAACTCAGCACTCAGTGTGGAGCCCAACCCAGGGCTCAATCTCACGACCCTGAGATCACAATGCTTAACAGACTGTGCCACCCAGGCGCTCTCAAGATTCATTCATGATAAAAACTCTCAACAAAATAGGTACAGAGAGAACATACCTCAACATAAAAAAGGCTATATATGACAAACCCATAGCTAACATCGCACTGAACAGTGAAAAACTGAAAACTTCTCCTCCAAAATCAGGAACAAGACAAAGTTGCACAATCTTGCCACTCTTACTCATCATAGTATTAGAAATTCCAGCCACAGCAATAAGGCAAGGAAAAAACATAAAAGGCATCTACACTGGAAAGGAAGTAGCATTGTCACTATTTGCAACTGACATGATACCATATATAGAAAACTCTAAATATCTCCACAAAAAATTATTAGAATAAGTGCATTTGGTAAAGTTGCAGGATATAAGGTCAATATACAGAAATCTGTGGGATTTCTATACACTAACAATGAACTATCAGAAAGATAAATTAAGAAAGCAATTCTGTTTACAATAGCATCAAAAAGAATAAAATATCTAGAGGTACCTGGCTGGCTCAGTCAGTAAAGTATGCAGCTCTTGATCTCAGGGTCATGAGTTTGAGCCCCACGTTGGGTGTAGAGAGAACTAAAAAACAAAACAAAAACAAAAACAAAAAAACAAACTTTAAAAAAAAGGAATCAAATACCTAGGAATAAATCTAACCAAGGAGGTGAAAGACCTGTACAATGAACACTATAAGACACTTTTGAAAGAAACTGACACGAATAAGTGGCAAGATATTCCATGTTCATGGATTGGAAGACTTAATTTTTTTTACGGTTTTATTTTTAAGTAATCTCTACATCCAATGTGGGGATCAAACTCACAACCCTAAGAGTCAGATGCTCCACTGACCAAGCCAGCCAGGCGCCATGGAAAAACTAATATTGTTAAAATGTCCATACTACCCAAAGAAATCTACAGATTCAATGCAATCTGTATCAAAATTCCAGTGGTCTTTTCACAGAAATAGAATAATCTTAAAACATGTATGGAACTACAAAAGACCCTAAATAGCGTAGCAATTTTGAGAAAGAAGAACAAAGCTAGGGAGGCATCACACTTCCTGATTTCAAACTATATTACAGAACCATAATAATTGAAACAGTATATATTAACATTAAAACAGTATTTAGATCAGTGAACAGAGAGCCCAGAAATAATGTATATATGGTCAATTATTTATAACAAAGGAGCCAGGAATATATAATGAGGATAGACTCTTCAATAGATGATATTGGGAAAATTGGACAGCCAAATGCAAAAGAAGGAAACTGGACCCCACTTTACACCATACAAAAAAATCAATTCAAAATGAATAAAAGATTTGAACTTAAGAGCTGAAACCATATAAGTCCTCAAAGAAAACATAGGGGGTAAGCTCCTTGACATCAACCTTGGCAATGATTTTTTGGATTTGACACCAAAAGCAAAAATAAACAATGGGACTGCATCAAACTAAAAATCTTCTATACATCAACAAAATTAAAGGACAACTTATGGAATGGGAGAAAATATACGCAAACCACATATCTGACAATGGGTTAATATCCAAAATATATAAAGAATTCATACAACTCAGTAGCAAAAATCCCCTAACAATCCAATTTTTAAAATGAGCAGAGAGGAACTGAATAGGCATTTTCCCAAAGACACACAAATAGCCAACAGAGGGGTGCCTGGCTGGCTCAATCAGTAGAGCATGCAACTCTTGATCTTAGGGCTGTAGGTTCGGCTCCACATTGGGTGTAAAGATTACTTAAAAATAGAATCTTTAAAATAAAAAAAACGGCCGAGGGGTGCCTGGGTGGCTCAGTCATTAGGCGTCTGCCTTCAGCTCAGGTCATGATCCCGGGGTCCTGGGATCAAGCCCTGCATCGGGCTCCCTGCTCCGTGGGAAGTCTGCTTCTCCCTCTCCCACTCCCACTCTCCCTGCTTGTGTTCCCTCTCTCACTGTGTTTCTGTCAAATAAATAAATAAAATCTTTAAAATAAACAAAAGTTTAAAAAAACAGCCAAAAGATACATGAAAAGGTGCTCAACATCACTAATCATCAAGGAAGTGCATATCAAAATGACAATAGTAACTACCTCACACCTGTTAGAATGCTATTATCAAAAAAGCAAGAAATAACAAGTGTTGGTGAGGATGTGAAAAAAAAAGAGAACCCTTGTGCATTGTTGGTGGGAATGTAAATTGATGCAAACACTATGGAAAATAGTATGGAGTTTTCTCAAAAAGTTAAAAATAGAACTACCATATGATTCAGCAATTCCACTTCTGGGTATTTATATGAAGTAAACAAAATCTCTATCTCAAAAAAAATTGCATTCCCAATGTTCATGCAACATTACAAGAGCCAAGAAATGGAAACTACCTAAGTGTCCATCAGTAGATGAGTGGGTGAATGGGGGTGAGAGAAATGGGTGAAGGTTTCCAGAAAATATGAACTTTCAGTTATAAGATAAATAAGTCCTAGGGATGCAATGCAGAGTGTTCACTATAGTTAACAATGCAATATTGTGACTATATTGTACTGTATATTTGAAAGTTACTAAGAGATCTTAAAAGTTCTTGTCACAAGACAAAAAATGACACCACCAAAAAAACACAAATGATCCAATTAACAATGGGTAGAAAACATGACCAGACATTTCTCCAAAGAAGACATACAAATGGCCAACAGCCACATAAAAAGATGCTCAACATCACTCATCATCAGGGAAATGCAAATCAAAACCACAATATCACCTCACACCTTGTTAGAATGGTTAAAATAAGAAACACAAGAAACAAATGTTGGCAAGGATGTGGAGAAAAAAGATCACTCATGCACTGTTGGTGGGAATGCAAACTGGTGCAGCCACCATAGAAGACAGTACGGAGGTATCTCAAAAAATTAAATATAGAACTACCATATAATCCAGTAATCGCACTACTGGGTATTTATACAAAGAACAAAAACACTAATCCAAAAAGATATATGTACCCCTATGTTTATTGCTGCATTATTTACAAGAGCCAAATTATGGAAGCAGCCCAGGTGTCCATCAATAGATGAATGGATAAAGAAAATGTGATATATATATATACAGTGGAATATTGTTCAGCCATAAAAAGAATGAAATCTTGTCACATGCAACAACATGGATAGATCTAGAGCTTATAATGCTAAGCAAAACAAGCCAGTCAGAGAAAGGCAAATACCATATGATCTCACTCATATGAGGAATTTAAGAAGCAAAATAAATGAACAAAGGGGAAAAAAAGAGACAAACCAAAAAACAGACTCTTAAATATAGAGAAAAAAGTGATGGTTACCAGAGTGGGGGGTGGGGGAAAGAGGTGAAGGGGATTAAGAGTACAGTTATCATGATGAGCACTGAGTAATATATGGAATTGGTGAATCACTATATTGTACACCTGAAACTAATATCACACTATGTTAACTACACTGGAATTAAAATAAAAATTAAAAGAAGCCAGTGTTTTTTTAAATAACATTTTCAACTGTATTTGAGTCAGCAAAAGAATCGGAAATCTATGCATAAAATAGAAAATTCTGCATAATTTTAAGTTGTTAATGCCAGAAGTCTCCAGTAGCAAGAAACAGTAGTACTCATTGCACTCTACACAGTTAAAAAATGTACTTAAAATATTCCCACTTTAATTTTTTCATCTATTATTCTATTTGGATGCCTACATAAAGGGTAAGTGTATAGAGCACAAACACCATGTAACTTAAGAATTATCTTACCATATTTGTTTGATATGATGGTGTTCTTAAACATTATGTTCTACTCCTTATTACTGAATGAATTAAGAATACAGTATGGGCTTGTGGCAGATGTTAAGTGACTATCCTACTCCCTACCTCCTTAGAGTGTGCTGGCAATTTGGGTATCAATTTCTCATCAGAGGATGGGGATTAAATCCTGATTATTTACTATCACTAATGATCATCCTTTTCTGATTGCTAGCAATTGGCTTAGAGAAGTCATAGGACCCAATTCTAGACAGATAAACAAAGGAGGTATTTGACAGGTTTTTTTCTGGAAAAGGTTTCCTCAAAGATTCAAGAAACCATGTAGGGTGAAATGCAATCTTATCTTTTGTTGAACATCCCCTTGTCTGGATGTGATGCCTGGTTATGTCTTTCAAAAATGAATTTTTACTTAAGCTCAGATAATAGGGCTGGCTCCCAGCACTAGAGCTTCAGCAGGCGGCAGATACATGCTTCCAGAAGCAAAGCATCATTGATGGCATCCAAATCTGGCTTCTGATGCCAGCAGATCTGGCCCCATCGGGTAAGGGATGAATCCATGATATCATCTGATGCCAGGAAGAAAGCTTGAAGCAGTTCCACACACCAGCCCATAGTCAGGGCCCACCAGAGGCTATCAGCATCCTGCCTCCTTGGCTTCCCCAGCTCCTGAAATGCTATCAGCACTGTCAAAGCCTGCTGGTATTTGCCTTCAATAACATCATACTCCAAGACCTCCTCGAGCAATTGCATTTCCTGTCTCTGGGTGGCCCATGCCATCCTCGGTCAGCACCTTGACAATCTGGGAGAAGTGCTTGATGAAATCCTGCTCTTCTTGAGCTTTTCCTACAGAGGTCCTATCAGACTGAGATTGGACAGACCCTGGACCTCATCAAAGCCTCCCGGGGCAATGTGGATCTTGGCAGATTCACTGAAAAGAAGTACAAATCCATTGTCAAGTCCAAGACAGCTTTTCTATCTTCCTGTAGCTGCCACCATGTATATGGCAGGCAGTGACAAGGAGAAAGAACATGCCAATGCCAAGAAGATCCTGCTGGAGATGGGGCAGTTCTTTCAGATTCAGGATGATCACCTTGATCTCTTTGGGGAGCCCAGTGTGACAGGCAAGATTGGCACTGACATCCAGGACAACAAATGCAGCTGCCTGGTGGTTCAGTGTCTACGGCAGGCCTCTCCAGAAGAGCGCCAGATCCTTCTGGAGAATTATGGGCAAAAGGAGGCTGAGAAGGTGGCCTGGGTGACGCCCTATACGAGGAGGTGAACCCCTCAGCTGTGTGCACGCAGTATGAAGAAGAGAGCTACAGCCACCTTGTGAGCCTCCTGGAGTGGGTACGCCACGCCCCTGGCCCTAGCCATTTTCCTGAGGCTAGCACAGGGGGAAAAAGTGACCTAGAGACTGTGAGGGTGGGAGGGGAAGTTCTCGATAAACTGTCTAACCCTCAAAAGAAAAAGAAAAAGAAAAAGAAAAAAAAAACCTGGTACCTGAATAATGTTACTGAGCCATTGAACCAACCAGCCTTATAGCTATTCCACCTTTGGACTATTTCTTTTGTGAAAGGCTAAATTTATTTTTAAGCCAGTTGACTTAGGGTGCCCTATTAGTAATAACTGAAGATAAAATTTCCACTTTTGTAGGAGTTCTGTAATTCAGATGTGGACTTTAAGTAAATCATTTATTTTGATGTCTTTGTATAGAGATCTGTTTTCTTACATTTTATTCCAACCACATTGTGTGTCAGAACAAAAATAGCAAAACTCCTTGGAGGAGTATGTAACAGAAACAGTTTCCAGGATATACTAT